TTCAAAAATTTTTACATATTTCAAAAATTGACAAGCTCATTATATGCACTTTTATTGTTTATTCTCATTAAAGGTAAATTTTTAATTTTTTAAGTATTTATTATTTTTTTGTTTTCAAATAAAAAAGAGCTATTTTTTTTTTACGTATTTTTTTATTTATGTTTTTCTGTCCTAATATATAGAATAATTCTTTGTTTAGTTTCTAGCAGCAAAAAAACAATGTCATTATTTTTATATAACTTCATTTTTGCTATTAAAATATTTACTTACATAAATTGTTTTCTTTAAGAATTATAAATTTCTATTTAAAATTTTTTGTAATATTCCTTCACACCTATAATCTTCTACACCTTTATTTATTAAAAAATATTTCAACTCATTATTTCTAATATGCTAGTTATATTCACCTTTTTTTCCTTTTGTAAATTTGCTTTTAATAAAAATTTTTTGTCTTTAAATAAGTTCTCTTAATTGTTTTTAACTTATATCTTTTGATATTTTCTATTATTCGTAATATACTCTAAATATTTGAAATATGAAAATCCTGATATTTATAGGAATACATACAATAAAAATTAATTTCAATTAAAATAATACATTCCTACATTTCTTTAAAAAATTTTATTCTACTATTAATTCTTATCGGTAATCAAATAATTTATACACATATTTTATAATTTAAAATTAGAGTATCCAACATATAGAAAAAAAGGGAAGATCCAAACAAAAATTATATATATCTTAAGTGAATTATATAATAACTAATAATTACATTAGAATTAATTTTTTTTTTTATCGTAGTACAAATTTTTTTTTTTACCACAAAATTAGATGATTTATCATAATAATTATACAAATAACATCACTAATAATATAACACAATTATACATTTTTTTTAATCTACATATATGATATTTAAGGTTTTTTTTAAAAATTCTCTTTTATTATTGATTTTATCTTTTTTTCTTAATATTTTATTTTAAATTGTAAGTAAATTTATAAAATAAAATTTGCTTATCATTAGCTTTAATTAGGATAATTCCAATAAAATTTAAAGTTGTACACATCTTAAGTCCGTAAATTATATATAAACTTAATAGAATAATATAGTTGTACTGAAAATAATAAATTTAAATTTATTTATATATTTTATGCACTTCTATGTTTTTTTACAATAATTTTTTTTTATAAGGGAAAACCTTAATTTTTTTAATATATTATTATCTCTATTTATTTTTTTAAAATTCAGTTTTCAATTCAAAACATTACAATTCATTCATTTTATCATGTAAATTCAAGTACCAATCAAATATTCCGAAGAAATTGTATGTAAATCTCCTAGAAGAAATTTCAAACTCATTCAATAAATTTTTACATTCTTAAGGGATCCGTTTATGAAATTGTCTTAAATAAAAACCCATAGAAACAAATTTAAGTAGATAGAACTATTTAAGACAGGATTATCTTTCATTTAACCATGTTAGGCATTATAACCTTTTTTTACTAATTTTTAGAAATTTCAGTATTTAAAAATAATTTTCCTTTAAAAACTTTGTATACATTTTAATGTACTATAGAATACGACTTGTTTAATTGAATAGATAGTATGACATTACAACTAAGCAAATATTAACATAAATTTACTGTAAATATTTTAACTATTAAAATATAAATATCGGACAAACCTAAATCCATATTTCTCGAAAGATATGAAATAACACAAAAATATAAATATATATAAAAAAACATTTATTTGAATAAGATAATATTATTATTTTCTAAAACTTATCAAAATATAAACTATTACTTAATAACATATTATTAGATAATCCAAGAATAAATTTTTCTTAGATTATATAATATATTCCTGTGTATAAACAGTTTCTTTAAATTTAAGTAAAATCAATTTGCTTAATATAAAAAAAAAAAAAGGAAAACCTTTTGAGTACCAAAAAATTTTTAAGAAAAGCTAGTAAGTATATAGCAGTTATTCCTAGATTGAAATGATTTTCTTCATTTAGATTAAGAAAAATTGTATATCTTAATTATGCTTCTTAAGTTATATATATTTATGAATTATCTAATAGTGATGTATCTTTTATTAATTCTATTATGTTATATTTAAATGTAAGTGTATTAGAATTAAATAAAAAACAATCTAAAAATTATCATATATCCCTTGGTTATAAATGAAAATATTTGTTTAGAAATATTTTTTTTTTTATTTATAATGTTAAAGACGAAATTTTATGAAGTCCTTACTGGGACAAATTCATCTATATTTTAAAAGTTGTAATAATTTTTATTAAATTTTCTTCATTGTAAGATGAAGATATATTGTGATTTATTTTTATGGTTGAAAGCAGAGTAATTATCTAAAAAGTAGTAATATATTTCATTTATTTTTTTTTTAAAATATAAAATTTTTTACAGTTTTCAAATTTTATGTTTTTCATGAGAAAAATAGAAGTACTAGAAACGTTATATAGTAAACAAACTATTTATTATATTTTCAAAAATACATATGTTTAATTTAGAGTTTAACAAAAATATTAAATACAAAAGATAGAAGAAATTTACTCATTTCGAAAAAATAAATTCGAAGTAGAAATGAATAAATAAAAAGAATTAAAAAAAGAGTTTCTCTTCATATATTATGTATTTTGAACAAACTTCCTTTAAAAATGTTTGAGTATATAAGTATATATAAAATTATAACTTAAACTTATTTCAGATAAAGCTATTTGTCTTACAGTTTATGATACTTTATTTTTAAAAAGCTAAAAATGTGAAGATATATAAGAAGAGTATTAACCGTTTTTTTTGCCTTTCTATGCATTTTTTTTAAATACAAAAATATTTTATTCATATTAATAAATAACCAAAAGTTATGAAAAATAGTTTAAGGACAAATTCTAACGCAAAAAAAAAAAATATGTACAAAAAACAATTTGAAATGTACTATTTGTTAAAACTTCAAATCATTAAATATAGGCATAAATTAATACTAAAAACGCAATTTTTCTAAAGATTTTATTAATTTAAAAATAAATGTTTTTAATAAATAGTAATGATCTTTCTTTTTAATTTGTAAAATATAAGAATTAGACAAAAAAATTGAAATTGTTAATGTAACATATTATAAGTATTATAACATAAAATTAAAACACATTGGATATGTACTTTTTATTTTTAATTTTTTTTAGTTATATATGCAATTAACATTTAAATAAAAATTTTTGTATAAAAAAAAAAATGGAAAATTCAAATAAAAGAATGTAATTTATAAAATTATTTATGTCAAAATTTATTTTTTTTAAAAATATTTTAAATTAAAACTAGAGGTGTTGTATGTTTAAAAAAGTTTCATCATAATATAAAAATTATTTTCCTATTTTATAAAATATGTATTTTGTTAATAAGAAAAAAATAGTCACGTAAAAATAATTGATACATAAAATTTAATTTTTATATTCTAATTAAAGTATTGCATTCTTTTTTAATTTAAATGATAAATGAAAAATAACTTTTCTTTAATTTATATATTTCTTATTTATTCATATATTTTTTTTTTTTCCATAAAGAGAAAAGTAATAAAAAGCTTTTATATAAATTTAAAATATTTAAATAAGTGAAATATTTTATGAAAACACCTTTTTTTATTATTATTTTGAAATAATATATATAGACAGATAAATACCAATTTATAAAGAATTGTTTTTATATATAATAATTATTAAATCAGATTATTTCAAGATTCCAGTAAAAATATATTTTCAAGTAATTTATAATTTATACAAATATGTAATATAATAATGAATAAAAATTTATTTAAAGTGTGAGTTTTAAAATATAAAATCAAAATTATATAATTTTATTTTTTAAAATAAAAAGAAAATAATGCACTAAAGAAGTAAAAGTTCTTTGTTAAATATGTAAAAAAAATAATAGTTAAAGCATAATTTAATAATTTTTTTTACAATTAAATCATACATTTTTCTATTAAATATATATTTTTTTTAAATAAATAAAAAAAATAAAAAACTTTATCTCAAAAAACATTTATATATCTTCTTGATGACTTTATATTATTTTAAAATATTCAAGCATAGCAACTCAAGTATATATATGTTTTTTATTTAAAAATTTTTATATCAATTAATATAAATATAACAAAAAAAAAAAAAAAAAATTAAAAATAAGAATACAAAATATGAAAGGTCTTCATTATTAAAAATATATTATATATATATTTAATATATAAGGAAAATATATAAAAATCAAATATTAGGACATAAAAACTGTACTGATTTTTTATGTAACTTTCATTTTTAAGATTTATAAACTTTTTTAAAATATTTAAAAAAAAAAAAAAAAAAAAATTGTATATTCATAATTATAATTTTAATTGTCGAAATATTGCAGAATTACAAAAAAAAAAAAAAAAAAAAAATAGTTTAAATCAAAAAAAATAGTATGCTTGATTTTTGTTTATAATGTTTGACAATGCATATAAACTTTTTTTTTTCAAGAAAAAAATAATATATGCATTATAAATAAATATATACATTGTTATTTACATGTAATATTTTAAAGTTTGTACTTAAAAGTTGAAATATCATTATATATTTAAAAAATCTTAATTTGTTGAATTTTTTTTTTTTTTTTTTTAATTTATTTTGCATGAATGTGTTTTCATGCTTTTCTCTTTTCATGTGTTTTTTTATGAATAAAAAAATATTGGAAAAAGTCTAACCAAAAAAAATTATATTGAATATTTTATCAAATATTGTTCCCTTTTTAAGTGAAAAAAATAAAACTTAAAAAAATTAAAAGAAAAATTTACAATTTTTGTAAGATTACATAAAATAAGGAGTAAAAATAAAAAGGAAAGTATTAAACATTCATATATTTGTAAATTTTATTAATGTATGAACAAATTACTGACATCGAAAAAAAAAAAATAGTTTTTAAAAAAAATAAACAATATTGTTTTTAGAATGACTAATGAATTAGAAAAAAGCTCAAATGAAAATATCATCGAAGTAATATCTATTGATGCTGAATCAGGAACTCAAGAAAATTTTGAAAAAAAAAGTAGCAATGATGGAATAATTAATGAAGAGAATATATTCTCTGATATTTCAGAAAGAACCGAAAATTCGTATGTACAAATAGACCATGAAAATAAAATACTAAAGGAGTTTTATGATTTAACAGAAGGTAAAAATAACAATGATGAAATTATAAGCATAAATTCAAATTCGATAAGTATCGGTAAGGGAATAAATATAAATTCTGCAGAAGAAAATGGGAAAAATGAGGAAAAAAGAAATATATTTGAGGAAAAAGAAAAAAAAAAGGAAAAAAAAAAATGCATAGAGGAAAAAGAAAAAAAAATAGAAAAAAAAAGTTTTTCAGGAGAAAAAGAAGAGCAATATGTTAATTTAGAAATTGAAACATATTATAATAATGATAATAATAATAATTGTAATAACATATATAATAATATAAATAATAGGAATAATGTAAATAATGAAATGAATGATAATAGACATAATATGAATAATGGAATGAATAACAGTAGTAATAATGGTAATAATAATAGTGTTGTAAATAACAACAATGAAAAAGAAACAGTTATATCTATTTTATGCCATATATGTTCAGATGTAATGGAAAAATCAATTTTTAAAGATCATTTATTTGCACATACAATAGATGCTATACAAAATAATCAAAGAAATTATGGATGTGAAAGGAGAATTAACCTAAATGATGATGTTTATGAAATAAGAAATAAAGATTGCTATAATGACTTGAGTAGATGTACAAAAAGGCAAAGTAGAACTAGTGCACAAAATTGTGCATTCAATAGTACAAATTGTTCATTTAATGATTTTGATAAAATGTTTGATAATAATAATATTGAACAAGCAAATTTTTTTAATATGATTTACAATTATAATTCTAACCTTGATGATTTTAAGAATAACTCGTCAAATATTAATAAAAGAAATAATAATGCCACAATAAATAATGCTAAATGTACCATTGATCATAATAATAATAATAATAATAAAGATAATTTAATAAACAATTTATATAACAATACAAATGCAAATGATATAATTGAAATTACAAGTTCAACAGAAAATGAAGTAAATGATATATTATCAACTAGTATTAATATTGAGGATAGAAGTAGAGTTGTAACAAAAAGTAAAGAAAATACGAGCAGTAAATTAGGGGATAATAATAATAATAATAATAATAATAATAATAATTATAGTGGTTTGTCTGCATTAACAGATTCAATTTCTTCTATTTTTAATAATCCAGATACATCATCATCAATTAGAAGTAATTCGGTCATTAGTAATAATACATATAATGATATAAACGAACAGAGTTCAAGTAGTATTGTTAACAATATACATTCCATGATGAATAGCATCCAGACTAGTATAAATAGAGTTAGAGAAAAATCTAAGAGTAATATAAATAATTTAAATAGAGATATAAACAATGATGTAAATAGAAGTGTAAATAGTGTAAGAAGAGATGTAAATAATTCAGCAAGTAGAATAACAAATAACGAGAATTTTAATAGTTCTGATAATATATTAAATAGGAAATTAAACAGAATATACAAAAATTTGCATAATATACATAGAAACATTAATGATGTATTAGACGATAATTTAAATTATTTAAGAAATAATAATATTAATAATTATAATAATAATAATAATGATATTACTAATCATATTGTCAATAATAATAGTAATACTAATAATAATATTAACAATAATAATGTAAATACTACAATAAGAACAAAGGTTACCAGCACAAGGCATAATAATTGTTCTAATTTAAATGATTCATTAAATAATGTAACTAGAACAAGAACACAACAATATAATAGAAACTTCGGTACAACATTTGATAATCAAAATAGATTTTCTCTGGAAAATTTTTCCACAGGTTCTCTTGGATCATCACCAAGTTATAGCTCATATTCTTCTAAAAAATCTTGTCAGCAAAATTCACATAACAAAGCATCAAGCATAAATGACCTAAATTATTTGTACTCTAATTTAGTTCAGAGATATCCATCTATTTGTGAAAGTTCCTCATTTTCTCATTTTGACAATAATCCTAATAATATATGGCCTTTAAGAAAGGTAACAAATATCAATAGAAGCGCAAACAATGGTGATTCAACAAATCACGTACAAAATACAGAAGTAAATAATTTAAGCTTTAATACTAATAACTTTAGTTATCGTAGTTCTAACAATAATAATTATACAAGTATATCATCTAGAAATAATTTAACAAATTTGAATAATAATGAAGATAGGACCATTAGACATAATATAATAAATAACGCCGTAACTATAGATATTACCGATCCTTATGTAGATGATTCCTTGTTTTTAATCACTAATGGAAATAATAGTAACACTAGTAGAAATAATAATATTATGAATACTAATAGAAATAATAATATTATTACTAATAATAGAAACAGCAATAATAATACTACTACCACAACTACCACCACAATTAATAGAAACAATAACACTACTACTACTACTATTAATAGAAATAATAATACTACAACCACTACTACATTTAATAGAAATAATAATAACCCTATTGTTTCTGCGAATCCTACAAATAGCAGTTCATTTAATTGTAATATTATTAATAACAATACAATAAGAATATCTGTGAATAGTTCAGGAAGAAATTTAACTAGTCAACAAATTTCAGCAAGAAGTAATGAAGGATCGAGTGGGAATATAAATTCAAACACAAGACAAAACATTTATGTTTCCAGTCAGAGTGAATATGAAGAAACAAATAGCATCTCAAGTACTTGTCCAGTATTAAAAGAAAAAAATGATTTTCTAATTGTTTATTTTGATATACACAAAAATGAACATAATAATTTAAAACTTTGTTCTATATGCTATGAAAATTATGAACATAAAGAAGCTCTTATTTTTTTACCTTGCACACATAATTTTCACAAAGCGTGTATAATTAAGTGGATTACTAAAAAAGCAACATGTCCTATTTGTAAAATAGACATTAAACATTATTAAAATGAAAGGATTTATTTTTACATATCGTTAATAATAAATTCATTTCGATATTCTATATGTATATATATATATATAAATAAAAAAGCCTCCCGCAAATTTTTAAATTTTCTTTTTTTAAACATATATTTTAAATTTTTTTTTCTTTTTTTAATTAAATGCATTGATGCTTTATTTTTAATTAATTGTTTTATTTTTATTTTTTCATTTTATGTTCTTTTTTACCTTTTTTTTTTCCCCATTAAATGGTAATTCTTACTTTTCTGTTTTTTTTTTTTTTTTTTTTTTTTAATAAGTTATTAAATGTTTTCATAAAAAAATGAAAAATTGGACATTTTAATAATTTATTAAAATTTCTAACATTTTAAAACATTTGTGTTAACTAAAAATAAATTTAAAAAATTTAGATTTACAAATCAGTATACAGAGGCTATAATAAAAAAAAAAAATAAGAAAAATATCAGCAAAATGAGTTATATATATTTTTTAATATAAAATAATTTCTTTTGGAGATAAAATTATATATTATCTTTAAATTATATACAAAATTATATATCTTATTAAACAAGAGTAATAATATAATAATAGATAAGGACATGAATGTTAGACTCTTTTTTTTAACTATACGAAATTTCCTAGTAAATTTTATTTTCTTTATTACCAAATAAATTTTGTATATTCACAATTCTAAAAAAAATCATAAAACAAAAAAAAAAAAAAAAAAAAAAAAAAAAAAAAAAAAAAAAAAAAAAAAAAAAAATAGAAATAAACGTAGGAAAACTATGACACCAAATTATATTTATTTATTATTTTAAAAATATTTTATACATAAAAAAAAGGAAAGGTAATTAAATAAGTATAATTAAAATATAATTCTATTAAAGATAATCCTTTTTTTTTTATAACTGTTTATATGAATAAATCTTCAAAATATCTAGTAAAATATATTATTGAATGAAGCAAGTTTCATTAATATACACACATATATGTAAATATATTAGATAAAATAAAAAATTTTAGTTTCAATGTGTTCTCTATAATTTATAATATGTTAAGTATAGCATTATCTCATTATTTTTATGAAATATAGGAAACCGAGTGGAAATACGTATAATTAAAATTTTTTTTCATTAAATTTGATAGATTCATTTTTTTCTTCAATGGAATTTCAATTTTGTATAAAATATTTATGGTATTTCTGTAAATTTTTTAAATTAATTGCTTTTCTACTAATAAATTTTAGTTATTTTAACTTCATTTTTTAAAGTAAAATAAATAAGGTTTATATGTACAAAAAAAGTAGTTCTAAAAAGTTGAAAACAAAATTTTATATGAAAGATTAGAAAAAAAAAAAAAGCGATATATTTTGCAAAAGGGTTCACAAAAAAAAGAAAATAATTATCTGAAATTCCAAAATTATAATAAAATTATACTTTTATGTAGCATGAGATTCATATGTTATCTATGTTTATAATTCTTTTCTCATTTTTATTTTCATTTTCATTTTTTTCTCTTTCTTCCTCTTATTTTTCTTTTTTTCTTTTTCTTTTTTATATTTTATAAGTTTTTTTATATGTTCATATTTATTTTTACTTTCCTTTTTTTTTTTATTTTCATACTTAAAAGTGTCTGTATCATTTTCTCGAACTTCATTTTCACAAAAGGTTTTCTTTTGTAAGAATTTTTCTTTTACTCCACTATAACATTTATTAAGTGTAGTATTGTTTTTATTATCTAACTCTATTCCATCATTTTTTAAAAATACATTTTTCTGTCTATTTAAGAACCATTGATTTTGACTAATTTTTATCTTGTCAAAGTCTGAAATGATTTTTGTATTATTTGTTTTATCATATATGCAATTTATTCCATTAAATTTGTTATCATTATAAATATAGTGACCATTTTTTATTAAATATTCTTCATGCAATTTTTTTCTTCTATTTATTTCTTTTTCTTCTTCAATAAATAGGTTTATGTGTTCATTGTATTCAATTTTACCTTCATTATTATTTATATTGTTTTTTAATTCATTTATATAGTTTTCAAATAAATGTTCATTCTTTTTTCTTTCTATTTCTCCTTTTTCTTTTATAAGCTTATTTTCATCATAATTAACTTTATATTGTACATCATTCCTGTAAACATTCCATTTTTTTTGAGGTAAAATATTTAATCCTCCATGACCTCCCATTAAAAAAAAAAGGATTTTCTTTTTATTCTTTATAACACAAAAAAAATTAATTAAAAAATGATTTACATCAAGTTTATTTTTAATAACGTTTTATTTCATTCCTTATATTTATTTATATTAGTTTTTTTTTTTTTTTTTTTTTTTTTTTTTTAAATAAAGACGTTTTATTTTTTTAAATAAATATTTTAATTTAAAGTTTGTGTAAAAAAAAAATTATCTTTTGATATAAGATTTTCAATTATTTTACAAATAAAATTCACATTTTAAATTACACTATTTTTTTTTATACAAAATACTTCATTGGTAATTTTATTTTTTATGTAAAATGTTTTATGTTAAATTTTTTCAAAAAAATTTGACAGGATTTTATTGTTTGAAATTTAAATTTATGTAAAATAATTTGAATTTTCTGTAGTAATGAAATATATAAAAAAAAATTTATCATCGAATTGTTGCTTTTTTTTTAACTTCAAATTAATTTAGAAGATTAAAATAAATATTTAGTATTTTTAAGAATTTGATTTCAATTAAGATTACATTATAAATAAAATTTTGCTGTATATGAAACGTCTCATTTGTAAATAGAAATTTTTATATATATCAATTTTTATCTTAAAAACAATATAAAATTAAAAAAAAAATATATGAAATATTTTCTCTTATTTATTATAATATAGCAAAATATAAATTGTTTCTGTAATTAACATATATTTGTTTTTAACGTGAAGTACAATATTTTATGTTTTCAGAACTTATATGATTATTATAAAATTATGCATCCTTTTCAAAAGATTATATTAGCATGACCTTTTTTTTTTTTTGTATTAAGATATTTTTTCTTTTAAATGTGTGTATAATTTTTAAAAATTTTATGATTCTTTAAATTAAATTATGCAAATATAAAAAAATAAAATATGCCAGAAAAAAAAAAAGAATAAATAAAATGAAGTAATTATATAAAAATATAATGAAAATACTAATCATAATTTCTTTATATCATCGATAATAAAGAGTAAAAACATATCTATATTAAATATAAAATTAATAAAAAGCTGTGATAAAAAAAAAAATAAAAATAAAAATTTTAATACAGTGAATATACACAAAAAAGATAGAAAAAAAAGTTATTTATCCATACTACTACTCATATTATTGGGTGAGCTGGACCTAATAACTGAAAAATCATTATCACCACAATTTTGACAAATATAATAATCTTCTATTTTAAAACCATTTGAATTAATAAATTTGCAAGCTCTACATTTAATAATAAATTTTTTATCAATTTTTGACGTGATTCTTTTTCTTTTTCTACTTTTATTTTTTGACTTACTTCTGTTTTTATTAAATAAATTAATTTTTCTATAAAAATGTAAACCTTCATGATTTGATGATGATGAATTAGTTTCACTTCCTATTCCTTTTTTATCTTCATCTTGAAATGCTTTAAACATTGGATTTTCACATTCATAAGCAAGGTGTTTTTCTAAAATATTTCTGAATCCATCAGCATCAATTCTACGTGTTTTTAATTTTTTCAAGTAATGCTGAAAAGAATTTTTATTATTATAAAAATCATATAATCTCTTATGTTGCCCGCTTAGATTAAGTTTTTTATTCAAAGAATCGTTATTATTTGATTCATCATTTTCATTAGTTTGTTTATGGTTTATATTTAATTTTTCACTGTTCATAATGTTATTACTTGCCTTTAACTTTAATATACTTCTGTATTTTTCTCCCAATATGTTATTTATTTCATCCTATAAGAAAAAAGAAAAATAAGAATGATAAATAGTATGAAAAAAAAAAAGTTAAAATACCGCGATATTTAAAAATAAACGAATGAAGTAAAAAATAAGATATACATATTATTTTTAGATTTTGAATAATACCTCATTTTCATTTAAAAAATTTGAACTCATTTTAAAATTATAATATTGATGTCATTTAAAATATATTCAAAATTTTTTAGAGATAAAACAATGCATATAATATTTGGTAACAAAAAAAAAATAAAAAATAAATTATAAGATTTTTTTTCTAAAAATTATGATTTAAATAAAGTTATTTGGATTTTTTATTTAATGCTTTTCAGTTTATTTCACTTAATATATATATATATATATGTATATATATATATATATCTTTATTTTTTATGTATATATTATAAATTTATTATTTTTTTTTATTTATATAATTTTTTCATTTATACAAATTTTTTTTTTTTATAATTATTTTTAAAAACTTAAATATTAAACGTACGAAATTTACCTCTTTATAAAATCTTTTTTTTTTTTAATTTTTTTGCATTATATATATTTAAGAAAACTTTAAAATACTTAATACTCTTAAATACCAAGATATTATAAAATCATATTTTAATGTACTAAAAAGCAAAATACATTAAAACAATTTTTGTTGAAATATCTTAACGAAAAAATAACCGTTCTATTTTAAGTATAGATATTTTAATTAAGATTTTATATATAATAAAACAAAAAAAAAAAAAAAATTATGCTTAATATATAGTAACAAAATATAAATTTTTTTTTTTTTATGAGAATTAAAAGAAAAAAAATGATTCAACGGTTATATAAAAAAAAATACCTATGTATTTATTATAATAAAGTCTCATAATTTTTGTAAATTCTTAAAACTTAATAAAAAAATGTTTGCAAGAATAAAAAGGAAGCTTAAAATATAATTGAATAAGGGCTGTTTTTTAAATATATTTATAGTTACTAAATACTTGCACATAGTTTGTTTAAAACAAAAAGTTTATAAAATAATAATAATATTACAAAAAAGATAAAAAGAGATTAAGGCATTATTTTATTCTATTTGATCGTGTTTTACTTAATTTTAGCAGATTCATATTATCTAAAGTTTTTATTTTTATTTTATAAATTTATACATATATTCAGATAATTAAAAAAAGAGACGATTTTGCTTAAAATTTTTTTTATAACTTTTTTTTAAGGATTCTCTTTAATATATTTTTGATAAGTATATTTTATGAATAAATGAAAACGAAAAATGAAAAAATAAAAAATTTTAACCTAACATATATAAAATATTCAATTTAAAAAAAATTTATGTCAATTTTTTTTTATATATTAAAATATTGCCTTAATCAGTACATAAGTCTTAATTATACAATATTTTAATTTAACAAAAAATATTTTTTATTAAAACTTCATATTAAAACAGTGTGTAAAAACGAAAAAAATTGTTTATAAAGTGTTTTTAAGTTTCTTTTTTCTTTTACCTTTCTATATAATATTAATAATACGTGTAAAAATAGAATATTTTGTTATATGCACATATATAGGCATAAATTTATATTTTTGTGCATAAAGTTTGCTACTATTATTTTTTTTTTTTATTAAAAAAAATTTTAGCAAAGTATCTTATTTTATGAGAAAAAAAAAAAAAAGAATAATTAAAAATATTAAGTGTAAGATTATTAATTATATAGAATAACATTAATAAAATTTTATATTTTTCAGTAATATATTTTAATATTACATTTCTTATAATATAGTTTTATACATAATTATTCAAAGTTTTTTAAATTTTAAATAATAAAAAAAAAAAATAAAATAAAAAAAAAAAAAAAACATGTTTAAAAATAAAAAAAGCTTATATCTTAATTACACTTTACAAAAGGAAAAATAAAAAAAATAAAAAAAGAAATTTTTTTGGGCGTAAACTTCATAATATGAATTTATAAAGTCCATGATTTCATCCTTTTTAAATGAAGATTAAGTCATTTATATAAAATATATATCAAAGGACTTAATAGCTGTTATTACCAAAAAGAAAAGTAATATTTTTTATATAATATATAAGTTTTTATTTCAAATGAGTATGCTTTATTTGAATGAAACACTATTTTTCTTTTTTACTATTTCTTTCAATAACTAAGATATTACTTATATTCTAAATAAATATTTCTTATTTTTTTAAAATTTTATAACTTTTATGTTTTTTTTTTTTTTTTTTTTTTAATTCATGCTTTATTTTTTTAGTGATTTTATAAACTTTACTGACATATCTAGAAAACCCCATCCTGCTTTTTATTTTTATACTTATATTCTTCTTTTAAATTGTTCTACATATATGTAGATTTAACTATTTTTAGTTTTTTTTTTTTTTTTTTTTTGAAAATGTAAGTAATTTTATAATTTTCTTTTTTTTGTTAGTATAGTATTAATAATGACGAAAAGCGAAGAAAAAAAATGGATAGAACAATTACGAATGAACCCACCAAAATTATTAGATGAAAATGATTTAAGGTTAGTATGTCAGAGAGTAAAGGAAATATTAGTTGAAGAAAATAATGTTCAGGCAATAAGTCCGCCTGTTATAATATGTGGAGACATACATGGTCAATTTTTTGATTTATTAGAGTTATTTGATGTTGGTGGTGATATAATGAATAATGATTATATATTTTTGGGAGATTATGTAGATAGAGGTTATAATAGTGTAGAAACATTTGAATATTTATTATTATTAAAATTATTATTTCCTAAAAATATAACTTTATTAAGAGGAAATCATGAAAGCAGACAAATTACAACTGTTTATGGATTTTATGATGAATGTTTTAAAAAGTACGGAAATGCAAATGCATGGAAGTACTGTACAGATATATTTGACTATTTAACATTAGCAGCTCTTGTTGACAATCAAATTTTTTGTGTACATGGTGGTTTATCTCCAGAGATAAAATTAATTGATCAGTTAAGGCTAATCAATAGAGTGCAAGAAATACCACACGAGGGGGCTTTCGGAGATATCATGTGGTCGGATCCTGATGAGGTAGATGACTGGGTAGCTAATCCAAGAGGTGCAGGATGGTTATTTGGACCTAAAGTTACAAAAAAATTTAATTATATTAACAACCTTGAACTAATAGCTAGAGCTCATCAACTAGCTATGGAAGGATATAGATATATGTTTGATGACTCTACAATTATTACTGTATGGTCAGCTCCAAATTATTGTTATCGCTGTGGAAATGTTGCAGCAATAATGAGAATTGATGAAAATATGAATAGGCAAATGCTAATATTTAAAGATACGCCTGATTCAAGAAATTCTATTAAAAATAAAGCTACAATTCCATATTTTTTATAAAAAAAAAAAAAAAAAAAGTATAAAAATAGAATATTATACATATGTATACATAAAAATATATATATATATATAAATGATTTTCAAATTTGTTTTATTCATTTTTTTTTTTTTTTTTTTTTTTATGTTAATAAATGTGCATTTTCTTTTAAAAAGAAATCTAACATTATTTTAAACTTAATAAGTTTCATTACATATATTTTTTTATATTTATTTTTATTTCTTTTAATTTTTCTATACTATTCTTAAATTCAGTATGTTTGATTCTTAAATAAACTTAATTTTCACTTATTAAACCTTGATACTATATAATAATTATTAAAGAAAATATATCTAAGAATAGTTAAAACTACAGATATGTAAAAATTTAGTATATTAAAAATAATATAGTTAATTTTTCTCAACACACTAAAATAATATGAATGATACACAATTTTTTTATATATTTTTTTTTATTATTCTTTTTTAATGTATTTATGTCAAGACAATAATTAAAAAAAAATTTTTTTTTTAATACATAGAATATTACGAGTGTTAGTTATTATATATATATATATATGTATTTATTTAATTTTTTTTTTTAACAAAAAAAAATAAATTTTGAAAAAAATTAAATGCTTTTAAACAATTGAGAACTTATTTATATTTTTAAATGTACATACATGTATTTTATATGAATATAATGAAAATATAAATGTAAAAAATTACAAATAAAAAATGTTTTTATGCAAATTTTTTTTAACGAGTATACTCATTAGTGTAATTTATGCTAAAATTTTTATGAATAATTTTACCAATAGTTTGTTAAAAAATGTTCATATAACGAGTGATAAAAATGAAGATATACTCAGAACTTCATATTCAAAAATAAAAAGCAGAGTAAAGCAGTATTATGCTAAAGAAAAAAATAGAATATTAAAAAAAAAGAAAAAAAAATTTTCATTAAATTACTCAAAATGCGCAGAAAAATATTGTTTTTTAAACTCATTAAAATTCACTGAGATAAAAGAAAACGTAAAAGTTTTATTTAATTTAGATTATGCAGAAAATAATATTATTTTTTCATATATAAAATCATTTAAGAGAACACCTCCCATTACAAAATTTTATTTAATATCTACTTTTTTGTTAAGTGCTTTAATACATATAAACAAAAATGTTTATAAATTAATTTTATTTGATTTCAATAAAATATTTAAAAAGTATGAAGTGTGGAGACTATTTTCACCTTATTTGTATATAGGTAATTTGTACTTACAATATATATTAATGTTCAATTATTTAAATATTTACATGTCAGCTGTAGAAATAGCTCATTATAAAAAACCAGAAGATTTTTTAATTTTCCTTACCTTTGGTTATTTATCTAATATTATATTTACTATAATAGGGAGTATGTATAATGAAAACATAATGAATATGAAAAAAAATATACACAAAATAGTAAATTTAATAATTAAACAAAAAAATAACGAAAATATAGAAATAAAAAAAGAGAATTACAATCATTTGGGTTATGTATTTTCAACATATATACTTTATTACTGGAGTAGGATAAATGAAGGTTCTTTAATAAATTGTTTTGAACTATTTTTAATTAAAGCAGAATATGTTCCATTTTTTTTTATTATACAAAATATGTTATTATATAACGAATTTTCTTTTTATGAAGTTGCTTCAATTTTTTCTAGTTATATTTTTTTTACTTATGAAAAATACATAAAATTAGAATTTTTGAAATATATTTTTCTCAATTTTCTTAAATTTATTCGTGTTTATAATATATATGATAAATACAAAGAAGAATACGAATAAAAAAATAATACATAATTGATAATAAGCAGAAAAGTTGATGTTTAAATAAACAGATGCTATACATATTAAACGAGTTTTTAAATTATTATATATTTACTTAATCATTATGTTATTTATATATATGTATATATTTTATAATTTTATTTGTATTAATTTCATTTCTCTAACTTTGTAAGAAACAATTTGAAGTACTTTTTAACATTTACTAATTGTTGTCATTACAATCATATATTTGTTTATGTAATTCTGTTATTATTATTATTATTATTTTTTTTTTATTTCATTATGCTGTTTTTTCTACTTCATTATTTCATTTCATTTTATTATGTCATTTTTTAATCTATTTTTTAGAAAAAATATATATATATATATATATATATAGAATAAATATTAAAAAATAATGAAGTTGATATTTTTATTAAACTATGAAAGTTTCTTCCTAAGAAGAAAAGGAAGTTTATTAAAAATGGGAGTAAGATATAAAAGTAACTTTAATATACCTAAATTAAGTACAATGAAGAATATGACAATTTATGATGTAAGAAAAAATGTAGAATTATGTAAAAAAAAGAATATAAAAACAAAAAGTATATGGAATGATTTTCTTTACATAATAATACTAAAATTATATAATAATGAAATAAATGATTTCGTCGATTTGATGATTATATTAAAATTATTAAGTAGATATATTAGTTTGGATAAAAGAGTTTTAAATTTTATATGTGAAAAAATAGAACATTATATTTATAAATTAACTATAAGGGATTTAAGTTTGCTAATACTAGTTTTAAGAAAAAATAATTTTGATAATGAATATTTTATCAATTTAATTAGTAAATCTATATTAATGAAAATGAACAAAAATATATCATATAAAGATTTGGCACTAATAACTTTCAGCTTATCTAGAAATACTTGTAAAACAGAACAAGTTTATACTAAGGAAATTTTCAATTTAACTATTTTAAAACTTAATAATAATTTAAACAACATAAATTTTCATTCATTATCATTATTTTTTTATTCATATAGCTTATATTTTGTAAATAATTTTGATTATTTTAATTCCTTTTTTTATATGATTAAAAATTTTATAAATATGCTTAAAAAAAATTTATATTGTTTGAATTCTACAGATTTAATGTTTACTTTTATTTCTGCCACACATATTTATAATTCATTTGAAGATAAATTCAAAAATATAAAAAATACAAATTACAATACTTATGACTCAATTAATAATAGATATCCTTTGTTAAATAAAAATTTAAATAAGTTAACTAATGAAAATCCACAAGAACTTCTAGAGGACAATTTGAATAATAAATATAAACAAAAATTAAAAAATAATTTAAGAAACAATATTAAAATTGAATCAGAAATTAATAATCAATTAAGTTTAAAAAATAGTTCTAATAGTAATCTAGAAGATATATCAGAAAAAAATATGCTTCCTGATTCATCAATAAAGTTAAGAGAATATGATAATAAAAATAAAGAAATTTTAGAAGATTTTATAGGATGCATAAAAACTGTAATTGTGGAAAAATTAAAATGTTTCAAAATTCAAGAGGTAATAAATATTTTATTTACTTCACTAAATAGAAATTTTACAATTAATAACAAATATTTTAATTTTCTTAATAAGTATAAAATAAGAATAGAAGATTATATTAATATTTACATAAAAATATGTAAATATAATGAAGAAGAAAATTATAATTATATTTTAAAAATTGAAAACACATGTGAAGATGAAAGGTTTATTAATATTTTAGTGGATGAAATTATATATAGGAATGATTGTTTAAACCTAAAGCAAATAATTCTGATATTTTATTTATTAAGGAAATCTAATTTTATATTTGTACAATTTGAAAAAATAATACTAAAAAGGTTAATATGCATAGAAAAAGAATTAAACAAAAACGAAATTATGTTTCTATATCAGTATATATTTTTGAGAATTTGTTTATTTAACGAATTAAAAAAATATTCCTTAAAAGTTTATGAAAAAGATAAAATGTTTTATCTATGTGATTCAAAGGAAAGTTTTAGGGATAATAATTCTTCTAATAATGATGATAATTTTTTCAATAACAAAAGAAATAATGAAAATAATATATATATGCATGATGATATCTTTTATTTGGAGAAAAAAAGAAATAGAGATAAAAAGAAAATATATTTATATGACAACTTTATTTTTAGTTATAACGCATATGTAATGAATGATATGAAAGATTCTCAAGATAAGATAAATATGAAATGCTTTATAGATTTAAAAAGAAATGTGAAGGAAGAAAAAGGAAATGATATATTACTTAAAAATGATAAATTAATAAATAATGAAAAAAATAATGAATTAATTTTGTGTAATTCAAAAAATTATAACATTGTTAATAATGAATTAGAATCAAATAAATTTTTTTTGAAAAATGATAATTATGAATACATATATGAAATTAGTTGTTTTAATTTATATTTAGATATATATAAAATTTTATGCTTAAAGTTATTAAGTTTTTTACGAAATGAAAGATTATCAAGTTCACACATTATAGACATATTGTGTATTTATGAAAAATTAAATATAAGAGATTATAGAATTATAAGATATTTATATAATTTAAAAAAGGAAATTATATATATAGATAATAAATACTTATTAAAAATTATTAATGTAATTGTAAATTTTAATTTATATAATATACTGATATATCTGAATATAGACAAAATTATTAAATTTATGAATTTCAATTCATTAGATGAATGCATAGAAGTTTTGGAATTAATAAGTATGATTTTTTCTTCTAAAGGAGGTTTTAATAATTTTCATACCTTAAGTATAGAAAATATAATAAATTACATTTTAAAAAATTTGAATAAATTAGAAAATTTTGATAAATTGGAAAAAATTCAAATAACTAATGCATATAGTAGTTTACCAATTAAATTCTATAAATTATTTAAAAATGTAAAATTATTAAATATACTAAAAAAATCACAAGATAATAAGTTTGAACAAAAAGATAAAGTTATATTATCAGAAGGAAACGTAAAAAATTTAAATATTTATAATGTAGACGATGTCAATTTAAATAAAATAAAAAATTCATTTCATTTTATAAAATCAGATATGAATTATTACTCCAATACATATGAATATAGAAATTTAAGTGATGAAATATATAAAGATTTTTTATTAATTTATAAAAACATTGAAGCTTACAAAAACATAAATATATATAATTTTACATTTCCTTTAGCTATAAATTTATTAACATTAAATGATAACAATATATGTTATGATTTGTGTGAATTAAAAAAAAGTGATTATAAGAAAAAAAATAAAATAATAGAATTGAATAAAAAGAATTTTCTTATTATTGATATTTTATATAACTATGATTTTTTTTATTCTTTGAATGAATTAAAGGAAAACAAATTAAAAACACAAAATATTCATATATCATATTATAGTAGTCATAAAAATAAATTTAATAAGAGACTGTTGAATAATAAAAAATATACCATATTGAGACTAATTAAGAAAAGAGGATTCAACTATATTTGCATAGATGCAAAAACTTATATAAAAAATAAAAAAAAGAATAAGGAAAATAATTTAAATAAACAATATATAAATAATTTAATATTGGATTTGTTAAAAAGAAAGAACACTAGTAGGAAAATAAAAGAGAAAGAAAAGATTATTGCAGAAAAAAAATATAAAATATTACGTTTTCTTTTGAAAAATAAAAGTAATAAAATATTAGACATTAATAATTATAAGTCTAAAATCAAAAATTCTTTTTACAAAAAAAATAAAAGAAAATGGAAAAAATATATAATAGAAAATGAGCCGTTATCTAATTATAAAGTAGAAAAAATTAAAGGAGAAAAGAAATCTACTTCAAACCATTTAACAAAGTTAAAAAATATGTTTCAATTAATGTAATTTTTTTTTTTTCTTTTTTTTTTTTAAGTTTTGAATATTTTATCCATTTTTGTTTTTATTGGCAGAAAATTATTAGTAGGTCTATAAAAGCCCACACTATATTTATTAATTTTAAAAAAATATTTTTTTTAAATGTGATTTTTTAAAAATTATATTAAGAGATGTTTTAAAGTTTTAAATTAATTTTTATAAACTTATTTTGCAGAATTGGATATATTTTGTAAAAATTTTATGATTACACACTTTTTTTAATATGTAACTAAAAAAATATAGATTTGGATATTATAAAAATGTTAAAGATGCTTCAAATAAGAGAAAAATACATATATATATATATATATAAACGAATTTTTTTATTATATTTATGTAAAATGTTATTTGAAGACTAACATATTTTATAATTTTAAAAAAACGTTATCTTTTCTAATTATAATATCATAATTTTCAATTTTATATAAATTAACAACAAATTAAAAAATAATTTTTTCATACAAGATAAATCAAATATTGTGAAATTGTGTTAACAATAATTTTGAGAATTTCATTTTTTTTTTTTTTTTTTTTTTAAATGTATTTTATTATTATAAAAAACGGATAACATTTAATTATATGTATAATTTAAACTGTAAAAAAAAAAAAAATAAATAAAACTTTTAATATCATATATTTTAATAGAAACTTTTTAATTTTGAAAAGATATTATTTATATAAGAACAAAAAAAAATATAAATATAAATAATATCCATTTTAATAATATATAATCCTTTCTTTAAATAATTTATCATTGAAATAACTTCGTGTATTTTATAATTTTTACTTTTAATTAAACTATTATTATCTAAATTTTTTGAAATATTTGAATTTTTTAAATATAAAAGTGTTTTTAAAACTTTATAATCAGAAACAAGTTGTTTTGTCTCATCCTTTTTATCAACTTTTAATTTAATTAAAAATGAACAAAATTTCTCATAAAATTCATTATATCGCTTTTTAAGCTTTTTCGATGATAAAGTGTAAGTTTTGTTTTTTATGTAAATTTTTCTTACTATTTCTTTTTTTTTTTTTAAAATTTGATCAACCTTTTCTTTGTTGAATACACAATTCAGATTCTTTTTGTTTAAATTTAAATCTTTTTCAAAATTATAATTTGGGAGAAAATTATAAATATCTTTATAAACATAATCATATAAATTACTATTTAAAAAATCTACGTACTTTTTTTTATTACGTATATGAATGAAATTACTTTTTTTTTTTAGCTTGTAAGGTAAAATTTTTTTTTTAAAACATTTTACATTTTTATTTTTCTTATAATATATCTTTTTCATAATCTTATAGCTTATTTTTTTAAAAATAAGATCTTTTTCAAAAGAATGTAAAAAGAGTGTAATGTTTTTAATAAATTTATAATAATTATGTTTATGTTCTAAATTAAAATCATTCGTTTTATATTTATATCTGTTATAATTTTCATCCATTTCTTTAATAGTTTTTCTCAATTTTTTAAATTTTATCCTGATTATCCTTCTCCTTTTTATTTGTTTTTTTTTTATGCTACAAAATTTCAAATAACAATTTTTTTTAAAAATATTAAAATAAGCTAGCTCATTTTTCTTCTCAATATTGGTTGTTATTTTTTTTTTCTTTGCTTTTTTAGAACTTTTCCCATTTTTGTGTAAATCGCTTAATATTATGAAAATAAGGAAATTATGCTTAGCTAAAAATAATTCATTAATTAGGTTAATGCATAAATTTTCTAGCATTTTATATAAAAATTATATAACTTTCTTGATTATTTAAAATATAATTTAATAAATATATATTTATATATAACAATTTATTATTATAAAATTTCTTTGAATGGTTTTTTTTTTTTTTTTTTTCTCAAGAAACCAAGAGAAAAATAAGAAAAAATAATCATAGATTGAAAATTATAAGCATATTTATTTTTTGTATTTAATTTCTGGTTATTCAATTCTTTTGGAAGATTATTTTTTCTTTATATTTTTGTAATTTATTATAATTTTTTATAACAATGATCTGTTTTTATGCGCATGAATAAAAATTTTGCTATATAGAAATCTTTACAGTTAAAAAAAAAAAAATAGTAACGAAAAAAAAAAAAAATAATGTAACATTAATAATTTAAAAAAAAAAAAAATATATATATATATGAGCAATATAATAAAAATAAAAAAAAAAGAGATCTTCTGTTATTTACAGAATATATTTTTTAAACAAATTATATTTACAGTTTATATTAAAAAAATGATTACTTATTCGGAATATCTAGATGTGTATGTTAGAGATTTTAACATTTATATGCAAAAAATAAAAAATTCAATTTTTTATATTAAAAGTTTGAATTAACAAAAAAAAAAAAAAAAAATGACAGAAAAAAAAAAAATTTACAGATAGAATATATATATATATTTATAAATATTCTCGTTTTTTTGAAAAATATTTCAGATCAAGAAGATTACAAAAACACCAAAGAATATATTTTAGAAGCTGAAAAATGTGTATATTATTTTGATGGAAATAAAATTCTTTTTTTTTTTTTTTTTTTGTTTATTTATTTGCTTTTTCTTTTCTTTTTTTTAAATATAAAATTTCTTATTAGTTTTAATATTTTGAAATACATTTTTTAGAATTTTTAATTTTTTTTATTTTTATTTTTATTTTTTCATGTTTGATTTAATCAGATAAAACAAATAATAATTGAAATAAATAGTTTACCTAAGGGATCACATAAAATTTTTGAAGATGTATGTGACTATTCATAAATAAAATTATTCCTTTTTTAATAAAAATAGAATATTATGTCTTTTTTTCTTAATAGATAAATAAATATAATCTAGAATTAAAGAAATATAAAAATATTTTAGAAAAAATGAGTGACTCTGATGAAAATGTACCACTGAAAGAAAAAAAAAAAAAAAAAAAAATAAAGAAACATATTGCCATTCATTATCATTTTTCTTCTTTTTCAGAGTGACAATAAGCAACTTGAAATAACAAGAAAATACATTGAAGGGTCAAAATTTCTATTAGATTCAGAAAAGTATAAAAACAAAATTTTAATAAAAAAATAAAAAAAACTTCCATTTAAAATGTATAGAAATTTTTTTATAATTTTATTTTTAGGAGAGCTCAAGATGTCGAAGACATAGGTTAAGTTATTTATTTATTTTATTTTTTTTTTTTTATTCTTTTTTTTTTTTTTTTTCATTTAATCTGAATTATTTTGAAAATATACAGGATATACAATAATGAGCGAATTGAATTCACAGAGGAATTCAATTTTAAGAACAAAACATTATGTAAAACTAAAATATTTCATTGTTTCAATTATAAACAAAAGATATATTTAACTACTAAATATATTTTTTTGTTATAATATATATATATATATATTTTTCCCTTTTAATAGACAGATGTAAATAGACAAGAACAAAATAGAGTAAAAAGAATGTTGATTAATATTTATAAAAATAGGTTGTTATATAAATTTTTATTGATACTAACAATAATATTACTGGTAATAGCAAACATAGGAGTTATAATTTACAAGATTAAATAATTAAAATATATAAAACTTTATTTATAAATTTATATATTATATATATATATATATATATCCCTTTTTTTTTTTTTTTTTTTCATTTATAATTAATAAATTCATATGTTTTATGATATACAAATTGTTGAGTTTATATTTTAATTTATATTAGATTATATACATTTATATATATATGCACTTTTTTTTAATTTTTAAAATAAAATTGTTGAAAAATATTTGGATTTTTACTATTTTTTTTTTTTTTTTTTCATAAAATTTTTTTTTCGAATATTATTAATCTCATTGAATTATAATTCGTCATCTTTTTTAATGTCTTCTTTTTTTGTACTTTCTGTATTTTCTAAATCTTTTTCATTCAATGACATTTCATTTATGTCATTTTCAATTTCATAATCTTCATATTCTTCATAATTTTCATTTTCTTCTTCATCATCATCATATTCTTCTTTATATTCTCCATCTTCGTCATCTTTTTTCCCATCTCTTTGTTCATTTTCATATTTATTTTCTATTAAAGTATCCTTTTCTTCATTATTATTTCCATTTTCATCAATTTTGTTATTTTCTACTTTTAATTCTGTTGTATTTTCTTTCTCTACATTTTCAAGTTTTTCATTTCTTTTTTTTTCTAAATATTTTTTTTTTTTTTTTTCTTCTTCTTTTAAAAAATCTTGAATACTTCCATGATATCTAAAGTTGAATATTCATATATAATACATTACAATTTTTAATATTTATAAATGTTAATATTCCTAATATTAATTTTTTTTTTTTTTTTTTTTTAAATTACTTTTCTTTCATGTCCCACCATACATGCATATTTGGAATTTTTTCTTTTGATAACAATAATCTATTCCATATTTTTTTTTTTTCTTTTTTTAATGTAACAACAACTTTACCAACTGATGCAAAATTATATTTTGTTTCCTTAAAAAAAAAAAAAAAAAAGTATATAGTTGTTATATATTTTAATGTATATTTTATTCTAATTTTTACTGATTCTATTATATTGTGAAGGAGAGTTAAATCAACAATATATTTTTTTGTTAATGAATTAGAATCATTACTAAAAGCAGAAAAAGAAAAATGATTTTTGTTTGAAATTATTTCTTCATTTTTAACTTTTAGAGCACCTAAATATATATATATATATATAAAATAAAAAGAAATATATTAAGCAAAATAATATGATTAAAAATGAAAAAAAAAAAAAAATAATTAAATAACCCGGTGAACTCCATCTATGTGAAAATTTGATATTTAGAAAAATATTTTCTGGAGATTGTGCCCACTGAAACGATGCATTTACACTATTAAAAAAAAAAAAAAAAAAAAAAAAAAAAGGTTTTTAGTGTAATTCTTAAAGAAAATTTTGTATTATTTTTATTTGATAAAAATATTTAACGTGTCTATTTTTTTATTTGAATAAGAAACAGTTACTAATTGATCTAATTTTTGTTTTAATGTATTAATTGTTGCTTTAATATCATTGCTAAAATCCTTTTCTTCAAAAAAAAAAAAAATATATATAAATTTATTTATATATATATATATAGATATAATTATTTTTATATTATAATTTTCTTATTTTCAATATATTGAAACCTTGTTTTATTGATTCATTAATTAAATATTCTGATACATTAAACCAACATTTTTCTATTCCATCAATTATATCTCTTAAAAATAATAAAAGTACAAAGTAAGAAAAATATATGTTCTTAATTCAAAATATATATATATATATATATATTTTTTTTTTCTAAAAAAATTATTTACTCTTTAGTTACAATATAATTTTTATGTGACTCAAAAAAAGCTGATGCCATCTGTTCATTTTGATAGTTTAATTTTGAAAAGACAACATTGAACAAAATAAATATATAAATAACAAAGAAACAAAAAAAAAACATTTTTTTTCAAATAAAGAAAAAAAATTATAATAATAATAAATAAATAAAAGAATTCTTATAAAAAAAAATAAAACAGATAAATAAAAAAACAATTAGTTTATCCTTAAAAATTATAAATAATTTTAAGTGTGGTAACAAATTTTAAAACTTTTTTATTACCTTATTAAATATTTATATATGTTTTAAGGAAATTATATAAACACGAAACATATTTTATTATTTATTAATTTAACTATGAAAAAGAAAAAAGTATCCAAAAAAAAAATATGCATCAATTTTATATTTTTTAATATCCCTTATGCATAAGAAAATTTATTAAAAATGTATACACATTAAATTTTAAAAAAAAAAAATTAAATTAAATAGTTAAATATTTATATGAATATCAATAAAATACTTTAAAAAGTTTATAAAAAAAAAAAAAAATATGGGATTTCTTTTGATTTTTTAATTTTTTTTTTTTTTTTTTTTTTATATAATCTGATTATAAGAATAACATATTTAATTGAGTTAAAATTATTTTAGTTTAATTTGATGACTATATGAAAAAAAAAAAAATTAAAAAACATTTTCCAAGTGTATTTTTTTTTTTTTTTTTTTATTTTTATAAAATACTTAAAGCTTCTTATTTATATATTTAATTTAGATAAAAAACCTATGCTTAATAAATTAAATGTATTTTAAAAGTTAATATTTTATAAATTATATAATTTTATAAATTCTAAAATTTTGTATTCGTAGAATAAAATATAATGGTTGTAATAAAAAAAAAAATCAGGAAATATTAGATGATTAAAAGTAAAGGGAAACACTAAAGTTTAAAGTGTAAGATTTTTTTTTTTTTAAGATCAATAAATTTTTATAAATATATAACAAATTTATAAAAATGACAAGAGAATTTTTTTAAAACAGTAGAAAAAGTTTTAGGTTGTATTGAAATATAATGTAAAAAATCTATTTAAAAAAATGACCTTAATATATTTAAAGAAAAAAATTTATGTAGAAAAAAAGATTGAAAAAAAAAAAAAAAAAAAAGAAAATGGAGAAATTCTAAATAAATGAAAATATTATGTTATATATAGTTCAAAAACTTTAATAAATGTTTTAAGATATCACAAAATTTTATTGTTCAGATTTCTAATTTAAAAAAGGAAAAAAATAAAAAAAAAAAAAACAACGTTAAATTGTAATGTGTGTTTATTAATTCTTTAGAAGATTAAAAAAGAAAAAAAAAAAAAAAAAACTAAAGAATGATAATATAATTGCATAATTATGAAAAATAGTTTTAATGCTTTTATTATAATTTTAAAGAAAATTTATGAAACATTTCTTATTGATCTAAATTTAAAAAAAAAAAAAAGTAAAAATTTTATAAATGAAACTTTTTTAGAAATTTATATAAATAACGGAAACTTATTTGTGTTATTATTTTACTTTTTTTTTTTTTTTTTTTTTTTTTTTTTTTTTTTTTTTTTTTTTTTGTTCTTAGATAATTTTTATAATAATAAAATGAATTTTTTATTCTAAAATTTTGAATCTATAGAGATCAAGAAAAAGTAAATTTATAAGGTAAAAACTAATAACCACAAATAATATATGAAGAAAAAAAAAAATATATAATAAATAATAAAGATGTTTATTCAAAAAAGGAGGAAAAAATTATATTGTTTTTTAGTTACGTTAGCACCCGTATATATATATCATAAACGAAATAAGAAAAATGAGTTTGAAACAATAAGAAATAATAATGATATAGAAAAAATAAAGTCGTTAAATATTAATAATATATTCTCATATTTTCCATTATTTATTCTTAATATTTATGACAACTATATATATAATAATAAAACGCTAAAAAAAATTTATTACATGCATAAAACTTCTAATAGAAAATATTACTATATTAAAAATGCTATAGAAGAAAGTGAGGCAAAAATTAAATATGATTTTATATATAATGAAAAGAATTTGTTTAATAAATTATACTTTTATGAATTAGTTTTAGAAAAAAGTATAAAATATGCAATATTATCTCCACAGTTAAGCATACATATTCTTAAACAACTATCTGAATATTTTGTTAATTTAAATACGAATTTGTACAATGAAAAGGAATTCAAAAAAAACAAAAATCATAATGAGAAAAATGAATGGAATTTTATGAGAAGAATAAAGAATATTAAAATAAATCATTACAATGAGATAGATAATAATCAAAGGAAAGATAAGAATATTCATGGGAAGGATAAAGAATCAAGTAAAAAATATAACATTTATGAAAAATATGATATACATAAAGGAATTGAATTGAATATGGAAGAAAAAGATAGAAAAAATGATAATGATCAAATTAGTTTGAATTTATTATATTTACTTAATCTAGTATATGATAATGCAAATCGTGTTTGTTTAAATACAAATACTAATATTTATATTAATTTTTATATGATTAATATATTAAAATATGTATGTTATAAAAATTACAAAAACTTACTTTTAAATGATATAAAATTTGATGAATTAAGTAGAGTAAGTAGTAAAAGGAACTTTTTTGATCATATAAATTATTACTTAAATTTTTTTTTTAATAATAAGAATAGTAAAATAAATAAAGAAGATACAAATAAAAGTTTATCTTATCATAATTCTAATATAGATTCAGAAAGCATTTATACTTTTTCTAATAATAATAAAAGAAATTCTGTAATAAATAATATAGAGTGTAATGACGAAAAAAAAAAAGACAACGAAGAATTGAATAAAAATAATTTTATAAACACAGATAATATAAAAAATGAATTAGAATTAAAACAAAAAAAAAAAAAAAAATATTTTTTTGAATTATTTTATAATAATAATGAAAATAAAGAAAATGAAGAAAAAAATAAAAAAAGTGAAATAAATTATAGTACGAATGAAAAAGTTGATGATAACAGAGTAGTAAATATAAATGAAAGGAATAGAGGATATATGAATGATAGTGTAAATAAAAATAATATTCTGATAGAAAAAAAAAAAAAATTATTAGAAGATAAAAATTTTATAAATGAGGTGAAAGTTTTAAATGATCTATATATCATTTTATACTTGAGGTTACTATTTGAATGTTCAGTGAAATTGTTAAGTATAAAAAAAAATTTATATTTATTGGATAAAAAAGAAAAATTTGAAAAAGAGAATAAAATAATATATATGAACACATCTGATGTAATAAATGATTTAAAAGTGAACTTTTTAAAAAGATTAAGGAAAAAAGAAAAAGAAAACTTTATATTTTCATATAATAAATTAAATGAATTTAACGACAACAAAAAATTAAAAAAAAAAGATATAATTATTTCATTTAATAATTTAATAAATAAAATTGACAACTTAAAAAAAAACGAAAACAATTTAGAAATAAAAGGTGAGAATTTCATTTTATTCAATTCAAATAAAGGTACACTACAAAATGAAATTAGCAATAGCAGGATAAATAGTTCATTTTCTTTTTACAAAAATAAATTAATGGAAAATAAACTGTATTCTTTTTTTTTAGACATTAAAAAAAATTTTTTAAAATATATATACGATATGAACAATTATGTTGATATGAAAATATATAAAATGAAAAGAAATATAAATTACTATGTTTTTAATTTTGATGAAGTTTTAATAAACAAATACTACAATTTAATTCACAAAAATAATGTAAATAAGATAAATACTCATTTAAGTAAGTCTAAAGAAAAAACTATTGATTTAAAAAAATTAAAACATATTTATTTTTCTATGATTACTAATTTAAATAGCATTTTTGCATATGTTTATATGACTGATGAAAAGAAATGTGCTAATAAAATTTTGAGTATATATAATACAAATATATTTTATGAGTATAATTATTTAAATGAAAATCAAAATATTTTTTATAAAAATAGTGTAAAGAAATATTTGGATTATTTTAATAATTTATTAAATTTAAATGATAAAAATCATAACTTTAAAAAAATTGTTTTTTTTTATTGTAAAAATGATATTAATCTTTTATTGTTTTTATACAGTCAGCGTATAAAAAATTGTTTTTATATATTTAAATATATATATAATAAATATAATTTTAAAAAAAACTACTATTTTAATTTTTTGTTTTACAAATTAAATTTTTTAATATTATCAAAAAGAGCTTATTTTAATTTTTTTGATTTTACTTATTTTGCTTATAATAATTTGTTTAATTGTTTTTCTTTTTTTTACTTTTTATTTTCATATTATTATTTGCTTTTTTTCTTAGTTTATCAAGTCAAGACATTTTCATCTATTAATTATTTTAAAATATTTGTACAACACTTTACATATATGTATTTTTATAAACTCTATAATAACATTAAAAATATATATGAATTTCATGATTAAAAATAGATAAAAAAAATTAAATCAAATAATAATAAAGTAAATATTTTACTAACTAAAAATAAATATAAAATAAAAAAAAAAAAAAAAAATATTAATTAAAATATATAATATTACTTATATTAAAAAAACAACTTAAATTTTTGTATTGCATTGTGGACAAACTTTAATTTTTTCTGAAGATTCTTTATTATCTATAAAAAAAAAAAAAAAAATATATATATATATATATATATATTTGAAAATTTTTTAATAATAATATACATAAAATTTTTTTTTTTTTTTTTTTTTTTTTTTTTTTTTTTACTTGTATTAAAAATATAATAATTACATTCATGACATTTAAAATCAAAATATTTTTCTAAAAAAAAAAAAGAAATTGCAATAAATATATATATCATTCAATAAATGTAAATAAAAAAAAAAGTTGATAATAATATTATAGTAACTATTATTATAAATTATGTAAAAGTATAAAATTATAATTAATATTTACTTTTTTGTTGTAATATAATATCATTTGTTTTATTAGGTTTATTTGTTTCTTTCATATGTTCCTTTTGAAATATGGAGTTATCAATATCAGGACAAACAACAATTTTATAACCATATTTAAGGACATCTAAAACTGTTTTTTCATTTTTATTCATTGGAAATTTTTCATTAATAATATCATATTGATATTTAAATTTGATATATTCTATTTTTTGTATATAATAAATTAGTTTTATTCTTAGTCTTTCATAAATTAAATCATTTGTAATATTTAAATTTTCATCACTTTTATTTAATTTTTTTAATTCAAAAGTAGCTATTTCATTATTAGAAATTTTAGTTTCTCTTCTTTTTATTTCTATATTATTAAGTTTTAAATTATTAAGAAAGTTTTTAAAATTTAGATCTGCTTGATCTATGAAATGGTTCTTCAGTTGTTCTATTGATTTATTAAAATCTTTAGTATACTTTTCAATATAATCATCTATGTTTTTTTGCATTTTTAATTCTTCTTCTTTATTATATTCATTATTAGTTTCTTTTTTTATATTATTTTCATCATCAAAATAAAAAAAATCTTGATCTTCTTCAATATATTGAATTATAGATTCTTTAAAATGTTGTAATTCTTCATATGTTTCTTTTAATACTTTTAAATTTTCATCATCAGGAGTTTCTAAGTTTTCATCTATTTTTTCTTCAATTGGAATATTTAATTTTTCTTCTAATGTATCACTTCTTTTCATTTTTTTTATACTTATTTTTTTATCAAAAATTTTTAATAAATCATTATCATAATTAAAATATAAATCTTCTTTTAAATTTAATTCAACTTTCTTCATAGCATCATTTAAATCAAATTTTATTTTTTTCCTTTCACAAAAAAGGTTATATCTTTCAATTTTTTTTCTTAAGAGATCATTTACACATTCTTCATAAATTTTCTCTGTTTATAAAAAAAAAAAAAAAAAAAAAAAAATTTTTCAGTTATGAATAAAAAATGTAAAATAATTTTATATATGAAACGATAAATTGAAAACAATGGAAATTCATCATTTAATAAATTTTTACTTTAATCTATATATATATATAAATATATATATATGTATATAATTTTAATTTTTTTTTTTACTTTTTATGTTTTCTATTGTTTCTAATATCTTTTGTTTAGTTTTGAAAAAATCTAGTATGTTTATCATAGAAAAAATCTGTAAATAAAGTTATAAAAAAATATAATAAAATAATTTTATAATTTTTTAAAATATATTATTTTCAATTATATATTAATTTTTTTGAAGTCCATTACTTCAATATCTTCATTTTTTAAAAGAAAAAAGTGCAAAGTTAAAAAATTTTCTGCATACTTTTTTTCTTTTATTTGTTCACTTATTTCATTAAATATTGAACCTATCTATAATAAAATAAACATTGAAAAAGTAAAATTATGTATAGAAAAAAATTTATAACATTAAAAAGTTATAAATTTTTGAAATTACTATCTTTTTATCTATTTCAAAATGTTTTATAAGATAAGATAGGCAATTTATAATCTTAAAATTCACCCTTGAAAATATTGCATATAATAAAACCTTTTTTATATTTTCTTTTTTTAATTCTTTATTTTTATTATTATTAGAAAGTTGTTTTATTTTGTTTAAATCATTTATATTTAATATGATGTCTTCAAGAAATTTCTAACAAAAAAAAAAAAAAAAAAAAAAAATAATACAAATTATTTTTACTAAATGAAAATTAACTTTTAAATATATTTATATCTCTTTATTTTTTCTAACTTCATCATCTTTATTGTTCTTCAAATATCTAAAAAAAAAAACACATTTTTTTAACTTATCAAAAAGAAATAGGGGTTTATTTATTTTTCTAATGGATATATTGCTGATTTTTGTTTTTACATTTGTTTTTTTTGGTTTTGATCTGATTAATAATGATTTATTATTTTTAATATTATTAATAAAAAATTGTTTATTTTTTATTAGACATATAGATTTTAATTTATCAAATAAAATAAAATATAAAAGAATAATATTTAGATTTTTAATATACATCTTAAATTGATATATACAATTCTTAGAGTTTTACTAAAAAACAAAAAAAATATCACTTAAATAAAAAAATATTTTAGGTTCATTAATATTTCAAAAAATATTTTAAAAAAATTGAAATTTAAAAAAAAAACATTTTTTTTCTTTCCCATTATTTTTTAATGTATTCATTGTGTATCTAAGCATTTTATGTATTAATTTTTATCAAAAATTTTAAAATATTTTAGGAAAAGATTTGACAAAAATGAAAAAAAGGGAAAAATAAAAAAGCATTTATATTTTATTTTATTTTATTTTATTTTATTTTTTATTAATATTAATTTGTCACAATATTTTTTTTTTTTTTTTTTTTTTTTTTTTTTGTGATTCTTAGTCGTTAAATATTTCTTTAAATATTTTTAATTATTTTCACATCTTGTTTTACACTGTTAAATATAACTTTATATTTTTTTATTTTTATAATGATTAGATTTTTAGTAACCTTTATATTATTTTATTTTTTTTTAAGTAATAATTTGATATTTAATAGAAAAATTAAAGTTTCTGTTTTTTCATATATAGTTATAAATGGCAAAAATAAAAAATTTTTCAGAGAGAGGCAAAAAATATACACTAAAAAAAAAATAATAAAATATGAAGATAGTAATAAATAAACATAAAAAAAAAATATACCTATTTCTTGTGTTTATATTAAGAAAATAAGAATGAAACATTGATGTTTTTTTTTTTTTTTTTTATTTTTTTTATCCAGTTGTTACACAAAAAGACATTTCAAAGATTAACACTCTTATTTTAGCTTTATTAGAATATAAAGTATAAATAAAATTTAAATAAATTTTTTTTTTGTAAAATAGAAAATTAAATAAATATTATGAAAACTTATTATATTTATTTTATTTTATTATTTTTTTTTTTTTTTTTGAAGAAAATACATAATAATTTAATTATTCCTGAAAATTATATCTTAAAAATAGAAGGAAATGAAAGTAAAATAAACATTTAAGTAATATTAAGAATATTGAAAATAGTCTTTTTTTTTTTTTCTTTTTTTTCTTTTAATTAGATTTAAAAAATTTTAAATTATGGAAAAAATTACAAGAAATTAAAGATGAAAAAAGTGATAAAAAGAAAAAGTATATATACTTCATTTTAAAAAAAATGGATTTTCCTTTAGAAACAATTTTTAGTAATATTTAATATTATAAATTTTTTTTAAGAAAAATTTTTAAATATATATATTTTTCTTTTTTATATAATTTTATACTAATTAGCACAAGAAGAAATAGACAAATATACAACAAATGATGAGGAAATTACAACTTTTTCCAAGTTATCAAGTATAGAAAAAAATAATAATATAAAAAATATAAATAAATAAAATTTATATATATACTATTTTACTATATTTTATTTTTTTTAAGAGGAAGAAGATATAAATTATGATATTAATGAAAGACAAGAAGTTAGAAAAGAATTATTTTCACCATATATTAAGAAGACAAAAGGTTATATATATATTTATATCATTTTTTTTTTTTTTTATTATATATTTAAAGAATAAATAGATATAAAAGGATAACTATTTTTATTTTTATTAGATAAAAAAAGTGAAAATGTAAAAGATTTTTTGGCTTTATATAAATTCATCCCCAAGATAAACGAACAAGTTATTTATAAAAAAAAAAAAAATATATATATATATATATAAATATATTATTTAAAACAAACTGTTTTTTTAATTAATTTAATATTCATAAACATATATATATATATTGAATGTTTTTTTTTTTTTTTTTTTTTTTTTTTATAAAAGAATGTGTTACCAAAATATTCTAATAAAGGCATACGAAAAAAAGGAATTCTTAAATATATTTTACATGACTTGAAAAAAGATGAAAAATTTAATTATCAATATAATTATTATTATGACAATATTTATAATAATGTAAATGATGATGAATTAAATGACTATTTTAAGTTTTTTATGAAATTTAAAAAAACAAATCAAAATTATGATTTTTTTGTTAATAGAACAAGATCCTTTTTTAATGGTATTTTAAATTCATCTTTTTTTTTTTTTTTTTTTTTTCTATATAGAGAATTATTTATGAACATACTTTATATTTTGATTGTAATAATTAAGTGTAAATATAAATGTATATATATTTCTTTATTTTTTTGTTTAAATTTTTAGAGGAAAATAGAAAAGAAAAAAAGTACTTGTTGTATACCCGTAAGGAAACAGAAGGGGCACATTCTTATGATTTTGATAAATGGTTTCTTAAATTTTTTCAATATATTTTTTATTTTCACAATTATTTATTTTATTTTATTTTATTAATTACTTTTTAATTTTCATATAATTTTTTGATAAAATTTATAGGTCTTTTGCAGATTTTATAGAAGCTTTAGTATTTTTTAATGTATAATCTTAAAATAATTTAAGAAAAAAAAAAAAAAAAAAAAAGATAATATTAAATATTTTACCTTTGTAGGATTTATATATTGATTTAAATAAAGAAAACTATGAACATTTCAAAAAAAATGGAAATGAAAAATTAAATATAATAGACTTTAACTTATTAAATCCTAATTTTGTTATACCAAGTAAAAAATAAAAATAAAAAAAAAAAAAAAAACATTTGTTAAATTTTTTTATTAATATTATTTTATTTTATTCATTATTTTCATAGATGATGACTTATGGCCCACTGAGTGGCATGGTATGCCATTAGGTAAATAAAAAAAAAAAAAAAAAAAAAAAAAAGAAAAAAATAACATATAATAAAGTGAAAATAAAAAAAAACAAATATAGAAATAAAACGAAAAATTATTGATTTAATTTTAAGGTCTTTATATTAACCAAATTAGAATGGGTGATATTGACGCAAAACATCATTTTATAAGAAGAAAGATTTTAGATTATATACTATTTGATTTTAAAACTTCAGAATATGAAAATAAATATATTACTTTTACTTGGAGAAAATTATATTTAGGAATTGCATGGTAGAATATTAATTTCAAAAAAAAATATAAATATATATATATAAATATATATATAAATGTATATATATATATATATAAATGTATATTTTATATTTTTTATTTTTATTCAGGTTTATTCACACAAGAGGTCATCCAATTCTTATTACTCCTTTTGATAAAATTCAGTTTGATGTTTTTTCAATGGATTTTTGTAAACCTGAAGAAATTCAAGTTCAAATTTAAAATAAAATAAATTATAAAATAAATTATAAAATAATTAATAATAATTTATAAACTAAATATATATATATATATATAATTGTTTAAAAAATATTTTCTTATAGGGTCTTTATTTGGGATACTTAATTATTCAAGCTCATTCTCATGAAAAAATATTTTGGTATATATATATATATATATATATATATATATATTAATGCACTTTATATTTGTCTTTTTTTTTTTTTTTTTTTTTTTTTTTTTTTATAGGAATAATTATAGAGATAGATTTGATTTTTTAAAAGGTAATGCAATTAAGAATATATATATTATTAAAATCATTTTTTTATTTTATTTTGTATTTTTCATTTATTCATTCATCTGTTTTTTTAAACTATATTTTTTTTTTTTCATTAGGTTTAGAAATAAATATTAGGAGTGCCGATGAATTAATATTTTAAATTTTATCTTTTAATAATTTTTATTTTATTACTTCATTTTAAATTAATATAAATATTATTATATACATTTTTTTAAAAATTTATAAAAATTAATCATTTTAAAAAAATGAAAAATTTAAATATAGTAAGTAATAAAATAGTAGAAGAAAGGGTAAAAGAATATTGTAGAAAAATTGAGGAAAATAAATTAAAAAATGTGAAAGCAACAATAAGAATTGATAAAAATAAAATAAATATTAATAATAGAAAAAAATTATACACAGAAAAGTTGAGAAATGAAGAAATAGAAAGAAATAATAAGTAAATGTAGACTTAATTTAAAAAAAAAAAAAAAAAAGAGATCATTTAATAATATATTCTTTTTTTTTTTTGTTTTTAATGTGTTAGTATTCTAAAAAAAAAATTAGAAGGAATTAATAAAAGAGAAAAAAAAACTATAGAACAACTTAAACAAATAAGTATTCAGAAAATGAACACAAATAAAAAAAACTTCTTGTATGAAAATATAAAAAAAGCAAAAATAAAAAAAGAGAATAAAAAAATAAATCATATAAATGATATATCTATTAAAAACGTAAATGTATACAATAAAATGAGAAAAATTAAAGAGATAATAACATATAGAAAACAAAATTTGAATATCTTTTTTTTTTTTTTTTTTTTTTATATATATATATATATATATAGTTAAAAAAAAAAATAGTTTATAAAGGTTATATAGATGATAGTATAAAAAATTATAAGTTTTACACAGGTTAAAGAAAAAGAGAAAAAAAAAAAAAAAATTAGTTGTTATATATATAATATTGATAAAATTCATTTAATAAAAATTTACAACTGTTACTTGAAGGAAAATCGATGAATTGGAAATTTTCATAATATATCAAAATTCTTTAAAATAAAATATTTTTTTATATTTATTTTTTTTTTTTTTTTTTATTGAAGAAATGAAAGTAGATGAAGATTTTAATTTAAGTATTCTTTCTTTGAATTTAAAAAATAAAAAAGTAAAAAGATTATTATATAATAAGGAGAAGCATAATGAATTATTAAATGTATATTAAAAAATACGAAAAAAATAAAAAAAAAAAAAAAAAAAGAGAGGATAAAAATTATATATTTTTTTAAAATGTAATTTTTGACAAACTATACATATATAATGTTAAGTAATCTTTAGAATATAATGTGCTTAAAATGAGATACATTTTTCATTTTAATTAAAAATATTTTTTAGAAATTTAACACTTATGAAGAAATAGCAAAGAATATATCTTTAAATGATGAAGAAAGAATTGATAAAATGCAAAGATTTATTTTAAATAAAAAAAAAAATGAAGAAAAGGAAAATGAGAAACCAATGAGAATTAAACATAGAGTAATGCTAGCAAATATAGAAAAGACTTGTGACTTTTATATAAAAAAATATTTTAGTGATGATATAGGAGATGAAAATACTACAATGGAAACAGATAAAATACAAAGTTCTAATGGAAACCAAAATAATGATTTAATAAATTTAAAAAAAAAAAAAAATTCTTTTCTTTTAATGAAAAATGAAATATTATATAAATCTAAAATAAATGAAACACAAGCTTTATTAATTTTTCAAAAAATTAAAGAAAAATTAAAAAAAAATCAATGTTTTTTAAAATCAAATGCAAATATAGGTTTACTATTTAATGAAAGTAAATATAATAAAATGTTTTTTTTTTTTTTTTTTGTATTTTCATCTTTATTGTTATTTAGAATAACTATAATTTATTTATTTATTATTATTTTTTATTTTTTTTTTTTTTTATTCAATTATATTCTTAAATTTTTGTTTTTTCAGGTAAATCATTTAATTATAAAAATAATTTAAATGGTTCTAATTTGATACAAAATCAAGGAAGTAAAATTAAAAGAGAAAATCAGAAGTTGCAAAGAGATATTTGTAAACATGAGAATATCAATAAAACTGAATTAAAAAAAAAACGAACTCAGACAAATGATAAAAATAATATTTCAGAAAAAGGGAAAGAGAATAATTTAGATAAAGATAATTTAAAAAAAGATATACCTAATGAGATAACATGTAAAGAGATAGAAACTGAAGATATCAAAAAAAAATTAGAAAATTATTCAGATGAAGAAAAGTTAGAAAATAGTAATATAGAAATAAATTTAGAAAAAAATAAATTAGAAAATAAATTAAGTAAAGAAACTTTTGAAATGAATTTAGAACAAAATATGAAAAAAAATAATTCAAATAGCTACCAATTAGAAAATGAATTAAGTAAAGAAACTTCTGAAATGAAATTAGAACAAAATATGAAAAAAAATAATTCAAATAGCGATCAATTAGAAAATGAATTAAGTAAAGAAACTTCTGAAATGAATTTAGAACAAAATATGAAAAAAAATAATTCAAATAGCGACCAATTAGAAAATGAATTAGAAAAAGGAAACAGAGTCAATAGTATATTAGAAGATAAGAAATTAGGAGATGATATAATACAGAATGAAAAAATAGAAGATGATGAGATAGATGATAATAAAGTAGTGGAAGATAATGAAGTAAAAGATAGTATAGTAGAGGAAGATAAAGAATTAGAAGATAAAGAAGAAGAGGAAGATAAAGAATTAGAAAATAATAAAGTAGAGGAAGATAATGAAGTAAAAGATAGTATAGTAGAGGAAGATAAAGAAAAAGATGATAAAGAAGAAGATAATAAAGTAGAGGAAGATAAAGAAGAAGGTAGTAAAGTAGAAGAAGACAAAGTAAAGGAAGATAAAGAAGAAGGAAACGAAGTAGAAGATAATAAAGTAGAGGAAGATAAAGAATTAGAAGATAAAGAGGAAGAGGAAGATAAAGAATTAGAAGATAATAAAGTAGAGGAAGATAAAGAAGAAGATAATAAAGTAGAAGAAGATAAAGAAGAAGATAATAAAGTAGAGGAAGATAAAGAATTAGAAGATAAAGAAGAAGAGGAAGATAATGAAGTAAAAGATAATAAAGTAGAAGAAGATAAAGAATTAGAAGATAATAAAGTAGAGGAAGATAAAGAAGAAGGTAGTAAAGTAGAAGAAGACAAAGTAAAAGAAGACAAAGAAGAAGATAACAAAGTAGAAGATAGTAAAGTAGAGGAAGATAAACTGGAGGATGATAAAATAGAATATAATAAAGAAGAGGAATATAAGATAGAAGATAATAAAACAAAAGATGATAAAATAGAAGATGATAAAATAGAAGATGATAAAGTAGAAAATGCTTTAGAAATAAGTTCATAAAATGATTTAAAAAAAAAAAGAATTTAGATGGTGATTTTTAAAAAGACAATTGAAAATACGAAAATGCATAAAATTAATTAGAATATTATAAAACCGAAGAAAATTTATGAATTTAAAAAACGCTATAAAAATAAATTATCAAAAAAGAAAAAAAAAGAAAAATGGAAATTTATATAATTTTTATCTTTTTTAAAGATAATATTTTTTTAAAATATAAAATTTTTAATGATATAATTTAAAATGCTTTTAAATAATAATATTTATAATTCTAATTACAAAAAGAAAAAAAAAAAAATAAAAATTAAAAAATAAAAATAACAAAGAAGATATATATAAAAAAAAAAAAAAAAAAAAAAAAAAAAAAAAAAAAAAAAAAAAAAAAAAACAAAAAAACATAAGTAAAAATATGTTTAAGAAAATGTTAACTCCATATTTTTTGTAAAGAGTTTTTTTTTTTTTTTTTTTTTATTCCTTTTTATTTTATTATTTGATTTTTTTTGATATTTCTATTATTACATGTAGTTTTGAAAATAAATTGAATGTTAATATATTTTAGATCAAATTCACTTTTTAGTTTTTTTTTAAAAAATGTTAAATAATTATTTGGTATTTTCTTATATAAGTTTGTAAATATAAGAAAAGTAAGAGGATTAGTTTTAATTTGTTTTATAAATTTAAAGTGACATTTTGTTTTTTTCAACCAAGGTATTGGGAACAATTTTAGAAATTCAATCAGAAATAAATTCAATATAGATGTAGAAATTGTTATATTGTTCATTTTATTTATGAAAATTATTTTATTTAATAATGCATTTATATGATTAATATTATTACTATTTAAGAAAATAATAGGAATATCGTTAAATGAATTTGAAAATGTTTTTAAAAATTCACTTCTTTTATTTTCAAAGTTTGAAATAATTAAATCTATTTTATTAACAACAAATATAATATTTTTTTTTTCTTTTAATAAGTAAAACATCATTTTTTTATCATCTTTATTTAAACTAATTGAATTATTTTTAACCTCTTTTATATATATGCATATATCACTTTTTCTAATATTACTAAATACTCTATTTTTCTCATCGGAAAAATTATCTTCATTTCTAAATTTATGTTGTTTTTTTAAACTGCATGTATCTAATATTTCTATTTTTTTATTTTTATAATAAACACTTAAGTCATTATTAATATACTTTCTTTTTCCAAATAATTCGAAAACATCTTTTTCATTTATGATATTATTTTTTAAAATTGATTGAATTAAAGTAGTTTTTCCACAATTTTTCTCTCCTAATACACATATCGTTATTTCATCATTTAACCCATAATCAATAACGTATTTTTTTCTACTTTTTGTTTTATTTGAATAATCATCATTTGATTCTATAATATTATTAATTTCTTTTAAGTTATTATTATTTTCGTTTTCATTTAACTCAAAAGTATCACAAGAACTGTAAAAATCATTTTTGCTTTCTGATTTATGTTGACTATCTATTTTTTCATTTATGTTTTTATGAATTTCATTTAATTTTATTAATTCATATGGATTCGTATTTTCATTTCTGTTAATAATATTTTTCAAAATTTGAATTTTTTTGTTTTTTAATTTATCAATAACTTTTTTTTTCTCTTCAAAGTTATTATTTTGTATTTTATTAAAAAAATATTCGTTCAACTCATTAGACATGGTATTTTCTTCATTATTATGCATACTATCATCACTATTTATTTCTTCTATATCATTAGTATTTTCATTATTTTTATTAACCATTTTTAATTTATTTAAATTTTTTTCTTCATCATTACTAATAATTTCTTTATTTTTTTCATATATGTTTTCTTCACTTATTTTTTTTAAAGTTTTGTTCAAAATATTTTTACTAAAATATTCATTGAATAGTTTTATGTTTGATTTATCTTTTTTTTTTAAATCAACGAATTTATAAAAATAATTTCTAGTTTCTTCACTAAGAGAAGGATGAAAAATTCTTATACTTTCATCTATTAAATCATAAATTTCACTGTTTTCTAATTTTATTTCATTATTTTCTAATTTCATTTCATTATTTTCTAATTTTATTTCATTATTTTCTAATTTTATTTCATTATTTTCTATTTTCATTTCATTATTTTCTAATTTTATTTCATTATTTTCTAATTTTATTTCATTATTTTCTAATTTTATTTCATTATTTTCTAATTTTATTTCATTGTTATTCAGATTAATATTACTAATTTCTGAATTTATTTTTTTCTCATTTATTTGAACATTTTGTTTTATGCTTTTTTTTATGATTTCTATTAAATCATCATTTTTATCATAAGAATCTAAAATATATGGGTAAAAAATAATATTCTTAAAATTTTCATAAATATCATGATAATTATATTCTATTTTATCACATTTATTAATGCTATTATTAAAAATAATTGTAAAAATATTATTATGATTTTTATAAATGTCATTTATAATCCTGTATGATAATATATCACAGTGTCTTATTTCAGAATGTTTAATACATATAAGAACTAAATTACTATTAGTAATTATGTTAAAGTAATTTTTTATAATGTTATTATTTTCAAATTTAAAATTATATTCTTTCAATTTCCACTTTTCAAATTTTTTTATCATTTGTTCATTTATTCCAATTGTATCTGTGATTAAACATTTTCTTTTATTAATTTCAAAAACATTTTTATTATCTTCTAAACAGTAATTTTCAACATGATTCACAATTGATTTTTTATAATTTACTTTTAATTGATCTAATAAATTATTGTGAAATGATGATTTTCCACTATTCACTGCACCAGTTATACTAATTTTGTAACAAAAATATCTTAACGTTTTTTTAAAATAATATTTCATAATATTGCTGTAAAAAAACAAAAAAAAAAAAAGGTGATAACTAAAAAAATAAAAAATAACAAAATTTCTACATAATTTAAATGTAAAAAATTATTTTTATATAATCATAGGAATCATCAAAATATAAAATACAAAAAAAAAAAAAAAAATTTTTTTTGATGTATAAAATTTATAAAAAAAATAGTTAAAAAAAAAAAAGAATTAAAATTTAAATAAACATGTAAAAACAAGAAAAATAAAATAAATAAAATAAAAGATAATTATATATATTTTTTTTTTTTAGAAATGTAAATATAATAATTATGTTTAATCTTTTAAAAAATTTTCACGATTTTATAAAAGAGATAGAAGATTTAAAATTACAAAATGAATCTGAAAACTTAACAAAACATTTTAGTAGATTAAATGTAAATAATATTGCAACAAATATAAATGAAAAAATAACTATAGAAAATAATATTAATGAAAAAATAACTATAGAAAATAATATTAATGAAAAAATAACTAATGAAAATAATATTAATGAAATAAATGCTAATATTATTAATGAAAATAAAAATAATAATGAAACTGGTAAAATAATAATACAAAATAAGAATGAAAAATTCATTTTTTTATTTAGTTCTATTGGTAAGGAATTATTTATTAATAGTAATATAATACAAGAAAAATCTAAGTTGGAAAATGAGTTAGTAATAAAAAATGTGAATAATTGCCATATTATTTTAAATAAAAATAAGTTGATCTACTCAGTTGTAATAAGAACTAATGAATTAAAAAAAAATAATAAATTATTTTATGTATATTCTTTATATGAATATTGTAAAGAAAATTATCCCAATTATCTAAAATTTTTTGTGAAAGTTAACTTTTTAAAAAAAAAGTTTAAAATACTTAAAATTTCAATTTTAAATTTAAATAATGAAGTCTGGAATTTTTCATTCACAAAAAATAATATAAAAGATAAGTTGGAAAATTTAAATAATTCAAAATGTTTGTGCTTTATCTTATTTTACAATTTATTGATTAAAGAATATAGACTATATATAAGTGATATAATTAAAAAATTTAAAAAAAAAAAAAAAAGTATTTTCATTATAGTAAAAAAAGAAGAGGTCAATAATTCAAATGATTATAAAAAAGAGGAGCATATTTATGAAAATAAAAAAACATATAACCTAATTTGTAATGAACACATATATGATACATTATTTTTTAATAAAATTTATGTTATTTTTAATTTATTACGAGAAGAAAATATTCCTTTTTTAAAATTTTATAATTTAGAAAATTATACACGTATTTTTATATATAATTGTGAAAACTTGAATAAAAATAATTTTATCAACTTTTTAAGGAGTTTTGAAAATTTTCATATTTATTTAATAAATCTAAATACATTATTTGGTTTGTATTTTAGTGAAACAGAAAAAAATATTTTAAATGTTTTTAAAAAGTGTCAGAAAATATTAAGAAATAGTAAAAAAAATGTTTGTCTTGTTATTGATGGTATAGATATAATTGCAAAAAACATATCAAAAGAAAAGGAAGAATGTTTAGATGAAAATAATGAAAAATATGATAATAATAATAGTAGGATATTAACGACATTATTATTATGCTTAGATAGTATTGACAATTGTACATTAAAAAAGAAAAAATTTTCTGAAAAAGAATTAAATCAAAGTATAAAGAATGTTCAAAAGGATGAAAGGAATAAAAAAAAAAAAATAGTAAAAAATAATCTTTCTTTTTTAGATGATGATGATGATGATGATAATGATAATGATAATGATAATAAAAGTTCTAATGAATCAAAAATACTGATTACACATTCTTTAAATAATACAAAAAAAAAAAAATCATCAGAACAAATAACTTACAACATTAAAAAATTAGAAAAAATTTACAAAGAAAGATATATTCAATCATTAAAAAAAAAAACAAAAAATAATATAAGTATTATAGTATTAAGTGATTTAAATTTAAAATGTTTTGATATTTCATTGACAAGAGCTGGAAGATTTTTTCATTATATAAAATATTCATAATATTACAAAATGTTTGCTTTATGTTTTTCTTTTTTTTTTTTTTTAAATAATATATTTCAGTTTCAATTTTATTTTATTTTTTTTTTTTTTTTTTTTTTTTTTTAAGGCTTCGAATTAATTTTGAATTTTTTATTTTTTAAACTATTTTATTTATGAACTATTTTGTATATTATTTTAATATTTACTTAATTTTTTATTATTATTTTTTTTTTTTTCTAAATTAATATGAATTTTTTAAGATTACACCTTTTTTTATTTTTTACTTTAATTAAGTGATTTATTTTCATTTAATTATTTTATTTTTTTTTTTTTTATATGATGCCCTTTTAAGTTTTATATGTTATATTTTTCTTTTTATATTATTCATTGTATAAAAAAAATGTATTTTTTTTTCTCATTATTAGTTTTTTTTTTATTAAATATAAATATACAAAGTAAAAATATTGATTTTTTAAAGTTTAATGCATTTGTATATCCTTATAAGAAACATAAAGTTTTTACAAAACATCATAACAACTGTGTATATAAAAACAAGAATATTCAAAACATAATTCAACGAAATGTTTTTTTAAAACAAAATATAAAAGTATAATTATTTAATATATATTATTTATAAATCATTTTTTTTAATATTATATTTATTTTTTTTTTTTTTAATTTTTTTTTTTGTAGAATATAGTAAGAAGTAAAAGTATTTTAAAATTAAAATTATTTTCCTCATCATCAGTCTCAATTTTTAAGTAACAAAAGAAAAAATAAAAAAAACAATAAAATATATATATACATATATATATACACATATATATATATATTTTTTTTAATTGTTAAGATTTTTTTTATCAAATAAACAAAATATAAAATTAGCTGCTTTACACTTTATAAGGTAAAAAAATTTTTCTCTTTTTTTCTTTTAATTTTTTAACCTAAAATGTAATTATTATATTTATATTTTTCTTTTTTCAAGAATATACAAATTTATAATTTATATAAGATGCTTATTAGAATGGTTACCTCAAATTAATCCGCATTTAAATCCGTTTGTTTTTATTTTTACTTTTACAAATAATTATGTTCAATTCTTTCATGTAATTAATTAAAAAATAATAAATTATAAATAGTAAATTATATAAAAGTATTAATAATTTTCCATGTCTTTTTTTTTTCTTTTTTTTTTTTTTTTTTATATATATATAGAAAATTGTTCCTAATGTATTTGGAATAGATTTGAGCGGAATTTTTTCTTGGCTTTTTTTAGAAATGATAGAAAATTTTTTATCTTAGAATAATATACTTTACTTCTTTTTTACATAAAATTAACTTGTTTAAAATAATATCTAATTCTAATAAATAATAAATTAGTTTACATATGAAATATTGAATATATTTTAAAAATATTAACTATAGAAAATTTTCATTTAAACTATTACTTATTGTTTTAAATCGAAAAAAAAAAATGTTTCGTTCAAAAGCACATTTCTTAATGCTAGCTAATTTAAAATATCTAGAATTGCAAAAACTATTGCTAAATAGGTTTCAAATATTTAAGAATGAAGAAATAAGAATATTAAAAAAGGAAAATATGAAAACTATTTTATATGAATGGGCAAAATTTTTAACAGAAAAAAATCAAGATACTAATATAACAAATATTCCACCTGAAGTGTTAAAAATTAAAAAGGTTATTGAAATATTAAAAGATGATATTGATTGCAAATGGCTTATAGATAAAATAAATATTGAAAATAATAATGGTAATAATATCAATAAAGTTGAAAACGATGAATTAAAAAAGATAGACAATCTTCATTTTGATGAATATCCTCAATTATTTTATTATGAATATCCTCAATATCCATATAATTATTATGATAAAAAAAAAATGACTAGCTTATATTCTCTTATAAAGTTTCCTTATAATGATATTTTAAATATTTCTAAAAGGGTTAATGTGGATAATTTAAAAAAAGGAAATGAAATACAAGAAAAGGAAGAAAAGGAAGAAAAGAAAGAAAAGAAAGAAAAGGAAGAAAATAAAATAAATGAGTCTATTACTAAAAAGTTGAATGAAAATGAAAATTTTATTAATTATTCTAATAATAATTACGTTTATGCACCATCAGAAATGGAAACTTCAAAAGAAAATTATCATTAAAAGAATTTAGAATAACATATAAAATTAAGAAGAAAATATATATTCATATACAAAAACATATTTCTTACATGAAATTAAGGAATAATATAAAATATTTAAAAATATGTAATATTTTTAACTTTTATTCAAAATATTAAAAAAATAAATAAAATTCATATATTTAAAATATAGGAAATAAATAAATTAAAAAAAAAAAAAAAAATAAAATAAATACTAATTAGGTGCGAATTATAAATATATTTATAATAATAATCACAAAATCTTTTATTAAAAATTAAAATCATGTAAAATACTTAAAAGTTATATAAATAGAGTATATATTTTTGTTAATTTTTTTTTTCTTTTTTTGAATTATATAAATTTTTTAAAAGCAATTTATATTTACGAAAATATAGTAGTGAATTTCCTATTATATTTTTTAGTTTTTCCATTTTTGTATTACTTACTTCTTTTTCTCTCTTTTTTTGTTTTATAAAATAGCTAATGTATTTTAAAGCCCTGAAAAAAAAAAAAAAAAAAAAAAAAAAAAAATATGAATGAAAAAAGAATTAGCTGTAATTATAATATTTGTATTTATGCATATATGTTACATTATTTTATTACCTATCGTTATTTTTATTTTTTTCATAATAAATTGATAAGGGTAATAAATTTCTCAAATCTCCTTTTTTTAATCCCATTTTATAATAAGAAACAGATAATTTTTCATTATTTTTTTTTTTATATATTTCACCAATTTCAAATAATGCTTTATAATTACCTTGTTTGTATAATAAATTTAAAATTTGCATAATTTTTTCTTGTTTTATATATTTATTTAATTTATTTTTTTTATAAATATAAATTAAATTATTTTGAGCAACCTCATAACCTTCATATGCAGCTAATGCATAAGTAAAAAAAGCATTCAAATAATCTTTTTCTAAATAATAATTCATACCTATCATATATAAGAAAAAAAAAAAAAAAAAAAAAAAATAAAATAAAATAAAATAAAATAAAACAAAATAAAATAAAATAAAATAAAATAAAATAAAATTAGTAAAAAAGTATAATTTAATAATATAAATGTAAAATTATTTTTTTTTAAATAACCTTGTCTTATTTTATTTATCCATAGTGTACTTTCAGCAATAAATTTATATGAGAGTGTTGCATTTAAACATGATTGTTTCACTCCTTTTCCAATTTCATATAATTGTGCTTCTCTAAAATATGCTTGAATATATCCCAAATCAGCAGAATGTTCATATAATTTAAATACAATTTTATAAATAGAATCTGAAATATAACGTTTCTGAATTGATGTATCTAATATAATTTCAGCTAAAAAAAAAAATGCTTCTCCATAATCATGATTTGCTGCTTCAATTAAATATTTTAAAGATAATTTTAAATTTTTATAGCCATCAATAAAATAATAAATATATCCCAAATAGCATTTGGATTCTACATCTCCTGCCTCTGCTGCCTGTAAAAAAAAAAGAAGAAAAATAATTATATAAGTCTATTTAAAAGGGTATATATATAATTATAATATATTTTTACTTTTGAAAAATTTTCTATGCTTTTCTTTATATTCCTTTCAGTTCCATTCCCATATAAATAAATAATACCCAATTCTTTAAGAGCTAATATATTATTTTTTTTTGATGCTTCATTAATATATTGAAATGCTTTTTTAAAATTTTTTTCTTCTTTGTATTTTTTCCCTAAATCATACATAGCCATAACATCACCTCCTTTAATTTGCTCATTTAAAAATTCTAAAATTTCTTCTTCATTATTTTGTAAATTATTTATTTCATTATGAATATTTAAATTTTCAACATTCAAAACATCTAATTCTGATAAAGGAATATTTATATAATCGGAATTCATAACATTTTCAGCAACAGTTTTGTAATAATTCTTTGCTTTATTGCAATTTTGTTTTACATTTATTCCATATAAATATTTATATGCTAAACTTAAAATTGATGGTGTATAATTTAATAGAGATGCTATTATTTCAAATTCAATGGATTTTTTTAAATAATTTAAATTATTTTGGGATTTATTAATTTTGCTTTTTTTCTCTTTTTTATTATTATTATTATTTCTTTTTTGGGTTTCATGAAAATCAAAAAAATAAATAAAACTTAAAAAGTGTAAGGCAGCTGCATTTTTCATTTTTGCTGATTTATCTAAATAATATAAACTCAAATTTAAATTTCTTTTGTAACAAAAAAAATGATTCTTATATCCAATAAAAAAGATTTTACCTAATTCATAATAAGACGAAGATGCTATATTATCCTTTACATTTGTTAACTCTTTAAAAATTTTTATGCTTTTTCTAATATTTTTTTTTACATTTTTCGAACCATTTTTTAATTCAACAGCAAGATTAAATAATTTTTTTCTGTTACTTTCATTTTGATTATTATCATTTTCATTATTATCATTTTCATTATAATCATTATTATTATAATTATCGTTACTATTTCTATCATTGTAATTACTACTATTACTACTATTATTGCTATATATATCATAATTATTTATATCATAGATGGTCGAACTTTTATTATCATCATATATTTGGTTATTAGAAGTTATTATGTCACTTTCATTTTCATTTTTAAAAAAATTGTTTAAAAATTCTAGATTATTAATGTCATTATTTTGTTCAAGTATTTTTAACTCTATTTTATCGTCTTCATATATATCATCTTTACTGAATACAAATTTATCTATTTGTGGCTTTTTATTAAGTAAAAATTTCGTATTATTTTCTATTACATCATAACAGTATGTTTTATTTATGATATAAAAAAGAAATATTAAAAATAAATCAAAATTTTGCATAATTCAATAAAATATTACTTCAAGATATTAGTTTTAAAGTACTTTCTTTTATGAATGAATCATGATAAAAAAAAAAAAAAAAAAAAAAAAAAAAAAAAATTTATTAAATTATACATATATTTTTATATACTTAAATTCATTATAAAAATTAGCATTTAAAGAAAATTATTTTTATTTTTGCAATAAATAAAATATATATATATATATATTTTTTTTTTTTTTTTTTTAGTAAATGAAATTTTAATTTATTGCATATGTGTATTGCGGATTTTATTTTATTTTTTATTTTTTCATATGGTTAATTTTTTAAAAGTATATTTGATAAATAACATATCTTTGATTATATAAATTGTTGTAATAGTTTTTTATGGTTAATAGTAGATTATATAATGAGCTTGTTTTAATTTAGAATAATGAAATACAATATTTAGTTTTTTTTAAGTTTTATAATTTGTTTTGTAATTTAACAAATACAGCAATGGGTGACAAACTCCACAATGTTAACGAAATGGAGTTACATGGAAAATTATTGAATGAAGATTTAGGTGAATCAGAAACAAAAGTTGTTGAAGGGAATGATAAAATAGAGAATATTTCAGTTAGTGAAAATATAGTAGTTGATGACTGTTTATCCAGTAGTAAAATTTATGAGAATGATAAAAATATAAATATTGGTAATGAAAAAAAGAGAATAATTAATTATTCTTCATCTAGTAATAATCATAAAGATCTCAGTTATGATAATCATTCAAATGTGAATCATGAAAAAAAAATGGATTTTTATAAAAATAGCAAAAATGATAAAAAAAACATAGATTGTAACAAGCCCATTGATACATTTATTAAGGTTGAAGATGAAAATATTGCCAAAATTAAGGTGAAAAGTGAAAATAAAATGAGAATTAATGAAAATGAGGTGAATGAAGATAATAATAATTTAAATGAAAATGAAAATAGTTTATGTAAAAATGAGAATGAAGTAAATAAAGATGATAATAATATAAATAAAAATAGTTTAAGTGAAGAAGATAATAATTTAAGTGAAGAAGAGAATTTAAGTAAAGAAGAAAATAATTTAAATGAAAATAATTTAAGTAAAGAAGAGAATAATTTAAATGAAAACAATTTAAGTGAAGAAGAGAATAATTTAAATGAAAACAATTTAAGTAAAGAAGAAAATAATTTAAATGAAAATAATTTAAGTAAAGAAGAAAATAATTTAAATGAAAATAATTTAAGTAAAGAAGAGAATAATTTAAATGAAAATAATTTTAGTAAAGAAGAGAATAATTTAAATGAAGATGAAAATAGTTTAAGTAAAGAAGAGAATAATTTAAATGAAGATGAAAATAGTTTAAGTAAAGAAGAGAATAATTTAAATGAAAATAATTTAAGTAAAGAAGAAAATAATTTAAGTGAAAAAGAGAATAGTTTAAGTAAAGAAGAAAATAATTTAAGTGAAAAAGAGAATAATTTAAATGAAAATAATTTTAGTAAAGAAGAAAATAATTTAAATGGAGAAGATAATAATTTAAGTATAAGTGATAAATATTTAAGTGCAGATGAAAATAACATAACTAAAGAAAAATTAGACAATATAGATAGTAATTATATGGAAGAAATAAATTCAAATAAAGTTGATTTTGAAGAAATTAATTTCTTTGATAATAATTTTTTTGATTTTCAAAAAGCAGAAAATCCATTGAAAAAAAATAATTCATTAATAGATATATATAATGAAATGAAAAATTTTGAAGAAGATTTTTTGGATTATTTAGAACGTACCTATGAAAATGTAGAAGAGGATGGATTCATAAGAAACGAGGAACATAATTCTGTTGATCATGTTGATCTGAATAGCGTTGAATCAATATCAAGTTTTTTTAATGATTCTAGTATTTCTAATTTAAATGTTACACAAATGAAGCAGTACTTAAGTGATAGTATTAATTCTTTTATAGAAGAACAAAAAAAATTAAATAAAAAAATAAGAATAAATAAAAATTATTTTAACATTGAAAATTATTCGAATACTCTACCACCGAATCCTAGCAAAAAAATATGTAAATATAATTTTTTTAAAATTATATCTTGTTTGCATAAATATATTAGATATGTTTAAAAATATATTATATTTAATTTTTTTTTTTTTAATTTTTCATAGTTAAAGAATATAAGAAATAATACAAAAATGATGAATAAGGTAAAAATGGCTATCATGGAAGTAAGAAATAATCAAATTTTTAATACATAAAAGACAAAATATAAGGTACTAACATTTTTCATTTAGTATAATAACTTATTTTAAAAGAAATTAGTACTAGAAAAAAAAAAAAAAAAAAAAAAAAAGGAAAATAAATTTTATAATTAATCATCGTAGTTCATTAATAAGTTATCTATCTATATATATCTTATTGCTTTATATATTGTTATTTATTTTATTTTTTCTTATAGATGTAACTGGTAAGTCTACTAATCGTTTGTTATTGATTAAGATTTATAAAAATAAAAAATATGTGTTAATATAAAGTTGTAGGTAATACATATAATTTTTTTTTTTTTTTAAAATTTAATATATATTTTAAAATTTTAATAATTGGTTTTTATTATGAATGCTATCATTAATTTAAATAGACAATATATTTTGAAAATGTTTAACATAAATCATAATATTTATTCTTATATATTTTAAGAATAAAATAATAGTTTTTAGTGTTGTATTTCAAATATTTGAAATGTCAAATAACCTTTTCTGAATTTACATACCTTTTACATACAGATATAATACATTTATAAAATGGTATACATAAGGTGATTAAATCCTCCCAATAAATTACTTTTTGAGGTTTTAAAAGTATAAAATAATTCCTCTTTTATTAAAATAAGTAGAATTACATTTTTTAAGTGTCAACTTTTTTTTTTCATTCAAATTGTATTTTGAAATATCCAATGAATATGCTAATCTGTTTATTTTCTTATTCTTTTGAAAAATTAATTTTTTTGTTCTCTCTGATTTTATTCTAAGTTTTTCCTCGTTAACGGTAGGTAATGTTTTACAATCAGACGAATATGTAATGAAATCATCACTGTAAAATTATAAAAAATATATATATATATATATTTATGAAAATTAAGCATCATTCATCATTTATAATAAATGAATTTAATTACATCGAACAATTATTAAACATATATATGTGGTATCAGAAGAAAAAGTATAATTTAATTAAATGTAGAAAAATATCGTAAAATAAAAAATGGTATTCTATCATTTCATATAAATAGTAAAAAAAAAGAATATTTCATAGTTCTTTTTATACTTTTTAAAAAAATCATCAGAGGCTCCTTTATTATTATTTGAAAATATATTACTTTTTAATAAAAATGATTTATCTAAATGAATAGTTTTTAACGCTTTTATTTTATTTTTACTTTGTTCATATGATTGATCAGAAAAAGTAGTTTTTAATTTATTTGTTGTATTTGTGTTTTTATATAATTTATCAGGAGTAGTTTTTGATTTTCCTATAACAACGATGTTTTTAATTAATTTATCAGAACTACTTTTAGAATTTTTCTTTTTATTTTTATTCAAATTGTCATAACTAGTTTTAGACTTTTCTTCTGTATTTATAGATTTTTCTTTTATCATGTTTTCTATCTCATCACTAATAGTAATAGAAGATACATTTATTCTTTTTTTTTGGGATTCAACTTGATCTTTATTTTTGCTACTATATGATATTAATGAATTTCCTGAATTATAATCTTCAATGATTTTGTTATCACCATCTTTTTTATTTAAATTAATTGAATTATTGTTTTTGTCATTTTGAATATTGTCATATTCATTAATTCTTAAGTTTTCATTGTAACTTTCTGTTGGTTTTACGTTCATTTTTCCTAAGTCGTTAACAGTTAGTGCTTGTCCTTTTTCAGTATTTCCCTGTAAATTATAAAAAAAAAAATTATTTAAAATTGATGTTAAGAGGAATGAAGAACAAATAATCAAATTAAAATAAAAAAAAACATGCCTTTTGTCGAATAACACAAAAATTTCCACCCATATTTAAATGACACAAAGAGTTAACAAAAAATTGTAACAGAAAATAGCTATTTTTTTGAATTATTTTTTATTATGTTTGTTTTTAATTGTATATTTATATTCCCAAAAAATTATTCATTCGGCATATATATATATATATGTATATTGTTTATATTAAAAATATATATATTTTTTTTTATTCTTCATTATTTAATTATTTGTTAACATAATTTGAAAAGTCATAATTGTTTTTTTTTTTTCTTTTTGTCTAACAAGCTAAATTCATTTAGAAATATAATATAAAATTTCATGAACAGTACATATTTTTTCATTTTTTTAAATTAGCTATAAAACAAAAGGTTAGCTATTAAATATAATTAGTATTTAGAGCAGAAAATTATAAATGTAAGTATTTTTATTTCAAAAAAATATAGATTGAATGAAAAAAATTAATTGTATTTTTATATATATTTTTTTAATTTATTTAACAAAATTATGGCATAACATCATTAAAAATTATCATTCTTTTTGTAATTCAAATTTTAAAAGAATCAACACACTGTTTATATGTTTTAAGAAAAAAAAAAAAAAAAAAATAAAAATAAAAGTTAAATTATTTAAAATGGGTTAAAAACAATAAAAATTTTCTGCACATTATTTACATTATTTTTTCTATAGAATTTTTATTTTTCATATTTTTATTTATTTGTATTATTAAGCTATATATTATAGAGTGAAAAAATAATATTTCAAAAATATTTTCATTAATTTTTTTCTTTTGGTATTTTTCTATCTAAAATCTTTTTACGATTTTTATCAATTTTCAATTTTGTCAATATAACGTTGCTTGGGTGTATACCTATGAATGTTGATTCCCCATTTACTTTTTCTCTTGTTACTCTTTCTATGTATATTTTATATCTCTTTCTATTTATTTTTACAACTTTTCCTTCCCTTCCGTGATTGTGTCCTCTACAAATAAGAACTTCATCATCTTTTCTAACTGGTAATGAACGAGTCTATATATATTAAAAAAAAAGAAAAAATATTTATAGTTATTTAATTTAATTAATAAATTATTAAATTATAAAGAAGTATAAAATAAAAAAGAATATAATAAGCTAATATTTCTTACTTTATATTTTAATCTTAATTCTTTTGATAATTTTGATGACATAATTTTTCTTCTAAGACCTGCAGGAGCAGTGAAGTGAGTCTTTCTCATTTTTCTTCGGGATGATGATTTTTCTAAAAAGAAAAAAAAAAATTTAATTAATAGCCTTTTAAATAAAAAAAATATTCTTATGCTTCTTCCATAATATTAAAAAATAAAATTATAATTAATCTTTGATAAATTAAAAAAAAATTTATACAAAATTATTATAGTAAATATAAAAAGCTATATATATATAATTAATTTTATATATTTTTATATTAGTAGTATCATCAAACAAAAATAAAAAACATAATCATTATAATTAAAATAATTAAATAACTTACGTTTGTTAAGCTTCATTTTTAAATTAACAGGAAATTTTTATAATATTTTGTTCAAATTATTTTTATACACGAAATTTAACAATTATCACTTTAATTTTTTCTTTTCAGAGATTATCTTATTTTGTAACATTAATTTCTTTTTAATAAAACCTTTAAAATAGATTTACTTAATCTATTTTTAAATATATATATTTTTTTTTATTTTAAATTTTATTATGAAAAGTGTATAAAGAAAAAAAAAATATAAAAAATGAAGCACAGTAAAAAAATAGAAGCTATATACGCATGTTTATTTTTTTTTTTTTTTTTTGCTTTATTGATAACTTGTTTCAGTATCCACTTTTCACTTCAACGGTAGAAATTTTTTTTTTTTATGCTTTTATAAAAAATTACTTTTTTTTTTTTTATAATTGCTTATTTTGTTTTTATGTTTCATGTATTTTAAAAAAAAAAAAAAAAATAGTTTTATATAATTTTTAACTTTTTTACATGATATGTTTTTTATTCTCATAGACTATAAAAAAAATGATTTTTTTTTTTTTTTTTTCTAATATGTATTAGTTAATAGTATATAAATAGAAAAATGTCAAAAAAATATATTTTTTAAAGTAAATTTTATTCTCTAAAAGTCAGTTTAAGTAATTTAATATTTGGTTTCAAATTTATTTACATTCTTTAAGTCATTGTAGATACATATATACCTTATATAATGCACATTTTTTTTTTTTATAAACATCTTATTTATTCATTTAATAAAGTGAACAAAATATATTATTTGAAGTAATTAAAATTATGTAAAATTCTAAAAAATTAGAATAATGCAATAATAACAAAAATAATAAGAATGAGTCATAAATTTTGTGTTTAAGAAAATTATTCTTAAGAGAAAAACATTGAAAAGTATAAATATGAAGTTAATAATTATATTTAATTTAATTTTTTTTTTTTTTTTTATGTTGTGGATATTTTATGAACAATTTTAAAGACATTTACTTAACATATATGATTTAAATAAAGTATTTCCTTTTTTCTACAATTTTAAAAAAAAATTATGGAAATTAATTATATTTTGTAATATATAAGTAAATAAGAAATGAAGAGCATTTTATAATGTTCATAAAACTCTACATAATACAAAAAATAAATTACTTTTGTGAAATTTAGGTATTTTAGGTAAATTTTTATTTTTTTATATATAATAAATTACTTCATTTTATTATAATTTGTATAAAATTAGGGTTATATGCTTAATTTAAATATATAAAAAAAAAAAAAAAAAAAAATTGTATTATAGGAAAAAACTAGTGTATTTTAAATTATAATAAAAATTTTTACAAAGATAATTTATTACCTAATTAATATAGTATTTATGTTCGTTTTAATATTTACATGAAAAAACATAAAAAAGTATTTGAAAGTTCAATTATTTATAAATTCCCATATTTATAACTAATTAAATAATAATCTACCCAAAAAGAAATCTAAAAATTCAAAATATCAATAAAAACAAAAAAGTAAATTTTAAAAAACTTTAGAAAAAGAAATTTAAATAAATTTATATAAAAGTATAATTGTCTCTAAAAATATTCTTATAATTACATAACTTTCTCTTATGATTTTAAGTTAAATTTTTATAGATATGTTGTAATATACATCTTAATATTAGAAAGAATGAGAATTATATACATCTACATTTATATATGGATATATATTTTTTTTTTTTTAATAAAAGAAAATTATAAATATTAAAAAAGTTAAAAATTATATTCACGTAAAAAATTTCAAGTTTGTAAATTTAGAAAAAAAAAAAAAAAAAGAATAAAAAAATTATGTTAATACTTTTTTTAATTAAGATCTTCCTTAGAGGTCCTATAGCTCAGTTGGTTAGAGCGTACGGCTAATAACCGTAAGGTCGGCGGTTCGAGACCGCCTGGGACCATAAGTTTCTTTTCTATAATAGTTTTATAAATATTATGTTTTTTTTTTTTTTTTAAACGCATATTGTAATATATATTTTATTTGTTATTAATTTTATATTAACAGTTCATAATTTTATTTCTTAATTATAATAGATATAAAAAGGGGAAATCATCTTAATTATTTTATGCAGAAAAATATGTTTATGTTATAATTTTCAAATGAAGAACTCTATTTTTATTTTTTTTACAAATATATTTAATAAAAAAAATATTTTAAAAGTAAAACTTTAAATAAACTTAAGAAGTTTTAAATTATTTATTATTATTAAATTTAATAATATAGAATATTTGTGTTAAAAAAAGAAAAATTCTTATGTTTATATAATCTTTTCAAAGAAGTGTAACCAAGTAAAATCAAAAATTATAGAACAATTTTTTTAACAATATTTATTTTGATATACTTATAAAAACCTTATTAAACATTTTTATAGTTTTTAATATTCTGCAAAAATGTACTGTTAAAAAATGTAGCATTATAACTTTGTTTAATATATAATTATCTTTATAAATATTATGTATTATTATAAATGTTTATCTTAATAGTCATATATTTTATTAAATTATTCCTTCCTTATTGATGAGAATTATTTTTTATTTTTATAACAAAGTTTTCCAGAAATCTCAAAATTAATTTTAAAAATATTACGAGCACCGAGGATCGAACTCGGGATCTTTCGCGTGTGAGGCGAACGTCATAGCCACTAGACCATGCTCGCTTATTCTTAAATAATCTCTTTTTTTTATTAAAGTTTAAAAACAAATAAAAAAAAAAAAAAAAAAAAAATAAAGGAAAAACCATATGGTTACATTAAAAGTATATTCTTATTATAATCAAAAATAACATATTTTATATCTTTTTTTTTAAAAGTACCTTTTATTGATAAATTAAACATATATATTTATGTTACCTATGAGAATAAAAATACAAACTATAAAAATATAAAATTTTATATAGTTAAAATAATGTATGTTATATTTATGAATTAACTGTAACAATATATCATAAATACATGTATCATTATTATGTTTTATTAAAAAATACTTTGTTTAAAATATATATATTAAAAAACAGTTTTAATATTCAAAAAATGTAATAACATTTATTTTCATAACTTTCTTTAAAGAAAAAAATATTTATATAATCTAAAAAAAAAAAAAATTTAATTATATATATTTCAAAGAATTTAATGTTATATTTATATTTTTACTTCTTATTTTTATTTTATTAAAAAGGAGAAAAGAAATTCTATAAACATATGGATATCACTAAAAATAATAAAAAATAAATAAAAAAAAAAAGAGTAATTAACAAATACTATAAAAAGGTGTAATATAGAAAAAAAAAAAAAAATACAAATAAAAATATGAAATATATATTAAAATAAAAAAGACATTATATAAATATCTTCTAAATTAGGATTTAATTATAAGCATATAAATTACATAAGAAGTATATATATATATATAATAAAGAATTATACATAATTATATTTTTAATTATGTTGTCTATAAAAATTAGGTAAATAAAAATTAGGTATATAAAAATTCTTTGATTCTTAGTTTTGTGTTTTTTTATTAACTTTATCATCAAATAATATCAACAAATTTAAATATGAATTAATTTATGATAAATTTTTTTTTTAACATAAATTAAATAAAAAAGAAAAATTATAACATATAAAGAAATAATCATTTCTATTGTTATTATTGTATAAATACTCTCTTTTTTATATTTAATATTTTCATATATTTTATAAGATAAATAAAATCCACAACATGCAAAAGAATTTATAATACCAATTAAAATTGAGAAATTATTATCTCTGAATATGGTAGACATATAAATATACATGTGATTTACGTAAAAACTTTGATGAAAAAAATAAATAATTAATGATATATATCCAATCATTACATTATATGTATTATAATATATGAATATAAAAGAAAATAGAGAAATTCCTAATATTAAATTAAAAGTAATGAAGTTATAAATTCCTATAATATCAGCTACAAAACCAAATATCAATGTAATAATAAAACTTGATGGTAAAAAGTAAGAATAAATGTTTAATGTGTTACCAAAAGCATTTTTTTCATATATATCAAATAAAGAAAACATAAAAAAGCAAATACTAAAAGTTATTATAAAGAATTCTATTATAATAAATATAAAAAATGAAGAAGTCACTTGTTTTTTCAAAAGAGAAAAATCTGTATTTTTTATGGAAATATTATCTTTTGTACTAGTTAATTCAGATGAACTTTTTTCAGTAGTACAATTATTTAAATTTTTAATTTTTTCCTTATTCTCCTCACTATTATTCATTATTTCTTTTTTACATTCATAAGTTTCCTTATTTTTGTCTTCGTAGTTAAAATTGTTTAAATGTATTACAATATCATTATTAGTTTTTTGAATGTTTTCGTTTGTTAGAAAATTATTATTCTCTTTGAGAAAAAACTTATTTTCATAGTTTTCTTCATTATTTTTATGAGAATTGTTTTTATAAATGCTATTTAAATTTTCTTCATAATTATTATCAAAATTATTTTTATCATTATTATCACAAGAATTATTTTCACAATTTTTTTTTTTCTTAAAATATGTTTCATTTTTATGTTTATAATCCTTTATATTTTTTAAAACATTCAAATTTTTTCCTTCATGACTGTATTCAGTTTTTATACAATTAGAATCTTCTTCATGATAATTTTTTTTGTATTCAAGAAAATTAGTTATTAAAAATGAAGGGATAACACATAATGAAATATAAATTAATACAACAATAATAATATTATTTTCAAAATCAAAAAAATCTAATGTGGCATTTATTACATTACCAACAAATAAACTTAAAACAGCTAGAGAAGACATGGCACTAATTAATATATAATTTTTATTTCTTAACAGATTCTTCAATTTATTAAATTTATCATTTAAACTACATGATTTAATTATATCATCCTTAACTGGATATCTCTCATTGATGTAATAAATAATTGGTAAGTAAGAGTTATCAGATCCTAAACCAAAACAAATAAAAGCTAAATTAAAAAATAACGAAACTACTTGAAAATTATTTTCTATTTTATGTTCAAAATAATATTTTGAATAAGATAATGATACACATAAGAATATCCATCCAATAAATATAAAAAAAAATCCTATTTGTGCTACATATTTTTTTGAAATTACTTTAATTAAGATACTACCAATTGAACCTGATGCAAATTGAATAATAAATCCTGATGTTAATAAAAATTGAATAGAATTTTCCTGTTCATAACATAAAAAAAAATCATCATCACTACTTCCTTTTTCATTTTTACAAAGCCACTCATATGCTCTATGTTTTTTAAATAAATTTGCTATAAATATATAATTTTGATAAACTATTGAAGTAGTAGATATACTATACATAAAAAGAAGTATTATAATTTTATTTTTTAACTTTTTCATATTGATTTAATTAACCCAAAATATATATATAAATATACATATTCTTCTTTTTAAAATGATAAATTTAAGCTACTAAATTTTTTTTTAATTGAATAAAAATATAATTCTTAAAAAATTTAACACATACAAATATATATATGTGTATTTAACGTAGATAAAATAACATTATAATAAAAAAAAAAAATAAATAAATAAAAATATCTAACATTATATGTATATCAAATTATACAATTATAATTAAATCTTATATATATATATATATATATATATTTTCTTTTACAATATTAATTTCTATATTTTTTACTAAAAAGTATTTTTGCAAATTAAAAATTAAATCAATTCTTATATAGTAATTTATTTATAATTTTTATGAAAAAATAATATATTTAAGTTTTATTATATATATAATATAATTATTATAAAATAAACTTTTATTATTTTTTAACAAGCTTATTTAATTTATTAAAATAATTTGTAATTTATTCTGTTCATATAACCAAATATATATATATATATATTTTCGAAATTTTTATTTTTTTGAATAATTATTGTTTTCCTTTGGTTTTTTTTTTTTTTTTTTAATTCATAAGAATTTTTCTTTTATTATTTATATAAAAGTGTTTTTTTTATTTTTTTTTTTTTTTTTTTTTTTTTATAATATTTGTTTATATATTCAAAGTATGAAAGCTATTTAACAAGGTATGAATATAAATACATTTATAAAAAATACATTTCTCCATTTTTTATTTTATATCTTTATTTTTATTTTATGTTTTCATTCTTGTTGCTTATCTATTGTAATTATAAATTGTTATTATCCTCTTTTAGATATACATATTTCTTTCGTAATATTTAAGCTTTATTAAGGTGTATTTTTTTTTAATATATTTTATGCTTAGTTCTCCATTCTTCAATGCCAAAATAATTATATTACAAAAGAGAAATTTTTATATTAAAAATTTTTAAAATCATTATAATTAAATGCATGATTTTATTGTTCATAAAAAAATAAAAAAAAAAAAAAAAAGAAATTAATAAAGTCTAAGAGGAGAATGCATACATGCATAAGAATGAATTTTCTTCATTACTTTTATCTTTGGTATTAGGATAATATGTGTATTCTATTATTATTCAATGAATAGAAATAAAACAAAAACTATTATGATATGTTTATATTTTAAAAGAAATATAGAATAGTAATATATTCTTTATATATACTTACATATATTTTAAACCTAATAGAAATAAAAAAAAAAAAAAAAATAAAACGTATTTAGAAGTATAAAATTACAACGCTGTAATTATGAGAAAAAATTAATACAAAAAGTTATGTAAATTTTTTTTTGAAAAATTCTAAAACATTTTAATACATTAATATATATAAATATATATATTTACTTATATCCTTATATTTTTATTTAATTAAAAATGTACCCTTATTAAAAAATTTAAAATATCATTTACTTAATATTTTTTTTTCCATTATTTTCCTCTTTTATGATTTTTTCAAGTAATACAAACTATTTTATTTTTATCCTTTTGTGTACTTTTTATTTTTATGTTCCTTTAATTAAGTATTGTAAAAATTTTATTTTTTTATCATGTTAGTATCTTAAGAATTTGCTATTTTTAAATTTAACTATGTTTCAATTTCTAAAAATTTTTACAATTTTACATATTATATTCCTTTATTCATTTTAACATATTTGCATTTTTACATTTTAAAACATTTTTATTTTTTTAATAATTTTACATTTCCGCATATTTTTCAGTATAACTTTTTTTTTTTTTTTTTTTTTTTTTTTTTTTAAATAATTAATGAAATTTTTTTTTTTTAATTTTTTATTATTTATTTCTTATTTTATTTTAAGAAAACAAAAAAAAAAAAAAAATGCACCTTTTTTGAATAACTTTAAAGTTGCACACACAAGATAAACATTAACTTAAGCATTGATATATAGTATTAATAAAAATATAGAAATAAATAATTTTAATGTTTATTAAGAATACACATTTGCAATATTAAGTAAAAAATATATTTATATAATAATGTGAAATTGCTTCATGTAGCAGATTAATTTTTTAAAAGAAGGAATTTTAATTAAAGTTTTAAATCTATTAGCATTAAAAAAATAATATATGCTATTATGTACCTATTTTTTGTATTAATATTAGTTTTTATTATTTTTTTTTAAAAATATTTTATAATTTTTTTTCTTTATAACTTCAAATTATTAACATTGATTTTATATTTAGTAAAAAAATAAATTTTTTATATTATAAAATTTTATATTTTTATCTTTAATTGATTATTATTATTAAAAAAAAAAAAAAAAAAAAAAAAAAAGAAAAAAAAGTAAAGGAAAAAGAAAATGTATGATTGAAGCATATTTTTAATTTAATGTTATTAATTGAATATATATTTTGTGAATTTTGAAATTTGATAACAAAAAAAAAAAAAAAAAAAATAAACAATTTACAGAAGAAATAAAGAAAGAATTCATACAAAATATGAAAGATTGGCATATTGGTAAAATAAAAAAAAAAAAAAAAAAAAAAAAAATAGACATACTGTTTACGTCATTTATATGTTTTAATTAATGAAGACCTTGTTTCTTCTATTTTGTTATTTTACTTTTAATATTTTTATTTATAGAATATAAAATATTGTTTTATAATATAACAAATTGTAAACAAAAATATACTATCTATTTTTAAAATATTTTGTAAAAAATTGTTACATTTATACATATATAATGATATTTATATATGTCTATATAAGAGAAAAATATGGTTTTATGATATATTTTTTATTATATTTTATTGGAAGATATGTGATTTGTTTAAATATATAGAAAATAAATATAATATGAAAGAATATCATTTTTATAAGATTATAGAAAATGTTAAATAAAAATATTATTATTATTTCTATTTATTAAATTTTATAACAGATTACATGTATATATATATATATATAATTAGAAAAATTTTTTGTAATATTCTTTTATTCTTTTAGATGACCATATAAATATATATCAAGAAAATGAGAAAAGTAATAATAAAGAATATGTAACTTATAACAGTTGTATAATTAATAAAAGTAATGAGAATAACAGTTCAAGTGAATCTAGTAATAATAGTAAAGATCAAAAACATAGAATATTAGAAAATGAAATTCATAGATCACCAAATAAAGCATATAGATTAGGTAATATAGTTGGAAATGGAAGTTTCGGTGTAGTTTATGAAGCTATTTGTCTTGATACTTCAGAAAAAGTTGCTATTAAAAAGGTTTTACAAGATCCACAATATAAAAATAGAGAATTAATGATAATGAAAAATTTAAATCATGTAAATATTATATATTTAAAAGATTATTATTATACAGAATCAATTAAAAAAAATGAAAAAAATATTTTTTTAAATGTGGTAATGGAATATATACCACAAACCGTACATAAATATATGAAATATTATTCAAGAAATAATCAATCTATACCAATATTTTTAGTAAAGTTATATTCATATCAATTATGTAGAGCATTAGCATATTTACATGCAAAATTAATTTGTCATAGAGATCTAAAACCTCAAAATTTATTAATAGATCCAAAAACACATACATTAAAATTATGTGATTTTGGAAGTGCAAAAAATTTATTAGTTGGTCAACGTAGCGTTTCATATATTTGTTCTAGATTTTACAGAGCTCCTGAATTAATGTTAGGTTCTACTAATTATACTACCCATATAGATTTATGGTCATTAGGTATATACAATAATTACAAAAAAAAAAAAAATAAAATAAAATAAATTAAATAAAAAAAAAAAAGTTAAAAAATGAAAATGAAAACATTTATATATAATTTAACATATATTTTAATATATAACATATATGTATATATGTGTATATATGTTTTATCTTTAGGTTGCATAATAGCAGAAATGATATTGGGATTTCCTTTGTTTTCAGGACAATCAAGTGTTGATCAATTAGTTAGGATAATACAAGTTTTAGGTATATAAATAAATAATAACAAAAATTTTAGAAAAAACATTTTATTTTACATTTATAATTTAAATAATACATAATAGAACATAAAAATGTATAGTTAAAATGTTTAATAATTTTTTTTTTTTTTTTTTTTCTTTTATTTTTTAATAAAGGAACACCAACTGAAGAACAAATGAAAGAAATGAATCCAAATTATGCTGATGTAAAATTTCCAGATGTTAAACCAAAAGATTTAAAAAAGGTATATATAAATATATTTTCTTATATATATTCTTATATATATTTTTATATATTTTCTTATATATATTCTTATATATATTTTTATATATTTTCTTATATATATTCTTATATATATATTTTAATATTTTCTTATATATTTTCTTATATATATATTTTAATATTTTTTATATTTTTGTAGATATTTCCAAAAAGTACATCAGAAGATGCTATAAATTTAGTTTCTAGATTTTTAAAATATGAACCACTAAAAAGACTTAGTTCAATTGAAGTAATTATAAATATAATATTTATATCTTATATTTCGTTAATTTATATATATAATAATTTATATATATATATATATTTATATGTATATATTTTTTTTTCATTATAAAGGCTTTAAGTGATCCATTTTTTGATGAATTAAGAGACCCTAGTATTAAGTTATAATAATATACATATATATATATATATATATACCTTTTTATATATTTTTATTTTTATTTTTTTTTCAAGATTACCAAAATATATTGATAAATTACCAGAATTATTTAATTTTTGTGAAGAAGAAATTAAAGTAATGTCTGATGAATGCAGAAAAAAAGTATTACCTAAACATCTTTATGAAAAATATGAATATTTAATGAATGAACATAATAATAACAATAGTGTTAATGAAAATATTAATAAGGAATTTAATGAATCAAATATGGAAAATAATCAATCAAATAATAAATCTCATTTAATTATTGAAAGTTAATGTCTTTATTAAAAAAAAAAAAAAAAAAAAAAAAAAAAATAAAAT